GGGCAACCACACAGAATCACACAGAATCAACTGCGTTGGAAAGGACCTTGAAAATCATCCAGTCCAACCGTTCACCTAGCACTGACAGTTCCCAACTACACCAGACCCCTCAGCGCTATGTCGACCCGACTCTTAAACACCTCCAGGGATGGGGACTCCACCACCTCCCCGGGCAACCACACCACCCATGGCACTGGTGGGTCCCTCGGTGCAGACACAGCCCATGACAACCTGCAACCATCTGCCATTTCTATGTGAGGAGATTTTTTCCAGTTTTACATGTTAATCTGGAATAACAGATGCATGACCTCCTTACACTGCCTCTGTTGGTTGTATTAATTGTCTTCTGTGTGTGAGTTTGATTAGTTAGCTAATACCACTGACAGTAAATCAGCAAAATGGATGCAGCAGCCATTAAATGATTTACAGAGGAGAGGAGACATCTGAAAACAAAAAATAGTTGCTGTCATTCTGTGGAAAAGAAGCCATTCAGCATTTAGACAGTAAAAGAGCTCAAACATTTGGAAGATCAATCCTTTTCAACTGGGGGATGAACAGCTAATTTCCAGAGTCAGGCTACTTTTCGGCACAGACACACAACACCAGCACTGTGTATGGCAGTGAAGAGCATCGATTTCAGAAAGAAACCATGGTTGCTCAGTTCCACTGGGGATTTCAGTGCTGCAGGATCTGATTAGAAATGAAGACAGGGAATCTCAGACTTCTCAGTGAGAGGGAATGGAAAACAGTCTCTGGGACAAAGTAGACCGTGGCCAGCCCTGGGAGGCTGCACAGCTGGCCTCACAACTGGCCACTCAGCTGCCAACACCTGGGTGCCCACCAAGTGGCTGCAGAGTGCAGCAGCTCCCTGGGACAAGGCTCGTGTGCTGCCAAAAGTTGCATAAAATCAGTGGTGCAAAGGGTTCCTGCTCAGCAGCAAGCAGGCAGCTCTGACCACACAATACTAAGCTTTTTTTCTGGTGGGTCATCAGGATATCAGTTTGTTTGGGCCAATAGATCTCAACTGTATGGTGCAGAATCACTGTCCTGCCTGTGTTGAGCTAGAATGCAAACCATGCACTAGTGAAACAAGTTTGTTCTGGTGCTGTTCACAGTCTCTGGGGTGAGTGTGAGCCCTAGGACCTCCCTTACATTCAGCTCTGGTGTAAGGAAAGAAAGTGTATAGGACACTGCTGTAGGAACAGCAATTCATGCTCAGAAGCTTGCATGTCCCAGCTGTATGAAATGTCTTTCCCTCTCCTCTTCACATTGCAGCTCTGAGTGACCCTAAATGAGACAATAGGAAGTTATAACTTTTTTTTTTTTTTTTAAACTCAGAAAGAAACTTGTCACACAGGAAACGTTTTAGTCTCAACCCATCTCTACCAACTTTTGAACTCTCTGACTAATCTTAAATACATTTGACATAAGTACAGAGATCTCAAGGGTATAAAGCTCCTTCCAGTTTTGCAAAATCATCATTCAGCTAGTGAGGAGAACCCCCTGCTCAGGGAAAAGGCAAGGAGAGTTTGATCCCTAGCCATTTTGCTTGGCTTGCTTGGGTCCCAGGAGGCAGTCTGGGCTCCCAGTATGACAGCCAGGCAGTCAGCACATGCACGGCTACAGACCTGCCACAAAACACGGTGCTTCTTGCCCAGCAAAAGACGGGCGCTTCCCACACACAGGAATGAGCTGAGGATACTGCCTGGTGGCAGGGGACTGGGTATGGGGAGCATCGGGGATGCAAGAAGGGGCTGAGAGGGGATGGATGAGGTGTCCCAAGGAACATGGTAAGACATGTCAATATAAGCACAGAGGAGAAAAGGCAAGCCTTAAGGAATCTATTTGTTTATGAATTCAAAATTGCATACAAGGCCACTTAGCTCATCATTGTAATGCAGCTGTCTCTGCAAGAGACACAACAACCCTGTACGAAAATGCAACACAGAGCCCTACAGCAATTTAGCATGTATGAAGCAAGGGTAGCTCCTGAGCACCATATATTAAACACACACACACCAAAAAAAAAAAAAAAAAAAAAAGCCAAATATAAGATGAGTAACAGTAATTGCTTGATGACCCTGGCAGGTAGCTTTTGAACCAACATTATGGCATCAGGCTGACATGACTGTTTCCCACTGGAAATAGTGTTGACCATACGTTGACCATACTTCTGTTTTCAGAAATGGGCAAATGAAAGCAGCAGGAACTGATGGTTTTGTCATCCCAGAAGAATGCATATTTCAAGGTCAGGTTGTGATTGCTAGCCTTACTGCATACCACAGGCTATAAGATTTCACCTGGGCCTTTTGAATCCAATTAATCTCCAATCTCTTTCAGTCCTCTCTTGAGGTATATTTTTAGCTATGCTTCATTACTTACCCAACTAATGGACTTTAAATAAATCACTGATACGACCCCATTTATTTTTATGTCATGTCAATACACAATCGCTGCAGTACCTGCAGTCATCAGTGATGCTGTTCCAAGTGTTGCACAGGACAGCCATCCAACTGATTACAAGCAGAATTAACAGATCCCCTCTTTGGGCTAAGTCTGACAAAACCCATTATTACTGGTGCAATATGAGGAAGAAGATGCTACTAACCTTTAAGTCCAGGGTATGGGGAGGCTGGACCAAGTAACAGAAGGAGGCTTGCTGAACAGCTGCCAAAAGAGCATTTTTCTGAATGACCTGACAGGCCAAGATAAGTTGCATGTTCCTTATTCCAGATGGACACAAGAGCTAAGGAGAGGGAAAACAACATGTTAGGCATTTCCTCTGCCATTTAAAAGACAGGTTACTTTTCAGACAACACTCTCTGTCTTGTTGCATTTCAGCAGCTCAATTTAATGAAAAGAGGGGTAAGGGGAGCGTTCTATTATATTTGTATTCATTGTTATCATTGAAACAAGACTAAATCTAGAGATCAAGGAAACTTTTCATTCATTTGTAGTTAGAGAGCTCAACTCCACTCTGTAGAGCAGGATGGTGTCAAACAGCACAGCCAAGTGCAAACAGGCTGGAAAAGGAGTAGATACCAAATAAAACATATTTGTTTTTCCTTGGCAAATTATTAATTACATGCCACTCTGCTGCAGAGTACAGGTCATGACTGAGTTGATGGCAAGAAGACGACTTTGCGGAGAGCTTTAAAGAAGAAATCTCCATGGCCTGGTAATCTGTGATACTGTTTTTATACACTTGTACAAAGAGGAAATGACAAAGTATGGAAAACAGCATTGAAGACTAAGGTTGTTTTCTTTCATTACAGAACTCTCAACACCAGATGTTGTTACTGTGTGTATACGGACACACACAGGCATCCTGCTTTATTTAACAAAGTTTCTTAAGCAAAACTCTGCTGACTTAAAGAGTTTAATACCAGTAAGGATTCCTGAATTAGGCCACATTAATGATCAAATTTTCAGTGCAATTTTATGAAGTTAATTATGAAACAGTAGACCAAATCATATTACCACTCAGAGAAAGACAAACTATAGAGAAGTTTATAGTCTAATAAACACATGAATGAGGCCCTTTCATACTCTAGCAAATAAATAATAATATAATACACATTTTTTTGCTTATTCTGCAAATTGAGTAATTCACCTGCATAACACCATCTCTTATACAGAAACTAAACTTTCCAATATGACTGTCAATTTCTTGGATTCTTAATGGTAAACTAGATGGAATATATCTGCAATGAAAGCAGAATTATCTATAAATATGGAGCATGACAGAGAAAGAAGCCAAACTGAGGATGAAAGGAAAATAGTGATATATTCAGAAATATTTTTAATTTCTTTACCCCTTTAAATTTAGAACACATAATGGAATTGGACACTCTAGTCCCTAATTTAGGATGTTGCTTTAGTTTTCAGAAGTAGTTCTGTAAGAAAAAGAATATATCCCATGATGTTTTGTGGTTGACATTACAATGATTCATTAGCATCTCCTAGATGAGCTTAGTCTAAATCAGTGAAAAATATGCCTGTTCAGTTTAATCATGCCTTGTTTCAAGACTTGGTTTCTAATGTGTTTTTCTGTGCTGCTGTACTGTCTTCTGGGGTCTGATGTCCTTCACTGACCCAATTCAATCAGCAGCTGAAGTTTCATTCCAGGTTGCTTGCAATTGCTAAACTCATTTGGAACAGCCCAACTTTCACAGCAGGGTGGGTGTAGGGTTAGGGTGTAGGCAAATGACTAGGATGCACACAACAGTACTGGGCTGCAGGTGGTAGATGTCCAGGTTGGAAGGGAGCCCTGCTGCCCATGTTAGCCATAGGTAACAACTGACAGGATGCCCTCCCTGAATCCAGTAAGAGAATTCACAGGATGTTTCCTTTCTTCCTCCTAAACCTTGATCTGAAATACACACAAACACAGACACAATTGGTTGTATTTATGTATGTGTATACACACACATATTTACCAACTCTTCAAAGAGTCTATCACTGCAACTGAAAAATCTACTTGTTCCAGTCACTTTCCCCAGAGGAAAAGGGATGATAATAAATAGCCTTTTCCTTGTGCAGAGATTGGGTCCAGTAGTCACTCAGTGACACTGAGTGACAAAGGTCAAAGATGCCACTTCATGAAGTGCAGTATAACTCTTAAGAGAATAAGCTTTCTTTGTGCACAGAATTAAGAGTTTATTCACAACCGTTTCTGAGGTCCCATTTTGCTACCTATGGAGTTTGGGGCAATCACTTTCAGGCCAGACCTGTTAGACATCCTTCACTTTGAAAGAAAATGCACTTTCATTCCAAAATTGCCAGCATTCCACACAAATTCAGTGTCTCCTCTCTTTCACTGCTCAACAGCTTTAAATTGGCAATATTCAATCCCAGACTCTATATGAAAAAGGCACAAATCATGCAGCATTTTAAATTTTCTGCCTGAGTAATTTTATGTATTTTACACACTGAAGTTTTTGTGGTTTATATGTGAGCCTAAGCAGACTAAAGGTTTGATCCCATCCAATCTGAAGAGATTATGCCCTGTGAAACACAAAGAAAAGTTCCATCAACCTGTCAACACAGCTGCCATCTTCCAGGAGAGATGTAATGAATACTGGTGGGACATGGTCTGCTTTCTCCCTATGAGATGCGGATTCAAACAGCACAGGCCTCAGATACAAATGGAACTCCCCAAAACCTGCTTCCATTGCAAAAGCTTTTAGAACCTAGAAACAAAACCACATGGATGCATTTGAAAAATTAACTTTCTTCCTGCTGTGGGCAGTACATATCTAGAAACCTACATCCATCAGGTTAATTTCAATGAGGTATCTGCATTCAACTTAAAACATTTCTTGGCATCTGAAATAGTATGATGGATACAAAGCAAACAAATGTAACCAGGTAACTGATGGTTGCTTACTATCACCTATTCAATTGACAAAGTCAGCGCTTACTAACAAAAGACACTAAGTTGCAAGTCTACAATGTCATAAGGGAAAATCAAGGGAAATATCCTAAATGTTCCCATTTAGAAAGGACTGCATTTGGCAGAGAGGTGAAGAATATTATTTTAGACTAGAAATTGGAAAGAGGTCTGACTACCAGACAGGAAGCCTCAATAGACAAACAGAGCTCATACACATTCTTACCATTAAAACAGTGATTTCATAACTTAAGAAATATTTATTCTAGAAAGCCCCAGTATGACACAACCCCAATACAACCTCCCCAGTATAACAAATTATAAGGAGAGTTCATCAGCAGACAGTAAACACATGGTCTAGATGTGACCACTAGCTCAGGAAATCTCTAAAGCGTCAAATGTCAGAAGTTGGGCACCGTCTTGCTTTTTATATTTCCTCCCTATAGATCTGTCCCTGCACTCCTTCACGAGCAAGAGCAGAGTAACACTGATCTGGCCTGTGATGGCTCTTCTCATGTAGTGTAAGATGTTAAAAAGAAATAATTTGACCTTTTGATACAGACTGCAAAGGAATAAGATACTCCCTTGCTTCCTCCTAACATCTAAGGCAGATGTTTTAGCAGTCAAGAAATCAGGTCACAGAGAAGCTATGTCATGAGAATGTGATCAAGACACAAGTAAGACCTACAAGACATAGGTCTTTGTCCTTTAAAATCAGATAGCATTCCCTGCCTGCTAAGAAAGGGAAAGACGAGGGGAGGAGACAAAATAATATATGAGAGACACCATGAGCATGAACTAATAATCATATGGAGCACAGTCAAAATCAACTCTAAGGTCTTAAAACAAAGAGCTCTCTGTTGCTCTCTTAGTTGACTAGCATAGACATATAATAGCCTGTATGGAACAGACATCAGCACATAAATCATTATTATTAATACTGAGCAAAGGGAAAAAATAGAAAAAAATATTAAAAAGATGACTGTGTCAAACAACTAGATACAAGCAAAATTCAGATTAAAGCTGCACTGTCTAGCTCTATTATTCTACCAAAGGGTGTCCCTTTTCATCAGATGGAAGAAGATGAATACTGAGGAACAGTGAGGAGCAAAGAGAAGCAACAAGGTCTGTAAGGAACAGTACATACAACATAAATGTGTATTTTAGATGTGAATGACCTTCCACTCTGGTAATGGAGAGACAGGCAAGTAACGGGAATAATTCTGGCAGATGCCCCCCCAGAAGTCTGATAGAAACTATGGTATGAGGTAGAGGAATCCAAAACTGTGGGTGCACTCACTTCATTTTACTCTTCATGGCAGGAAAAAAGTTTACTAATTTTTCTGATGTTTCAGTCTGAACCCGAGTGTCTAACAGTTCATATTACAATGAACTGTGAATTTCATCACATCAAAAGAAGAGGTAAAAATAGCCCCTCAAAATGTCACACTGAACAAACTATATACATTTATACTGGTATTTAGACTTAACCATCTTCTATTAAGATATGTTATGCTTAATGACCTTACATACACATCATGAACTCTTACTTTTTGTCATAACTTTCCACTGACTTCCCATCCTGGAAAATGACAATTTACTGATACTTTTCTGGGATTTCTAAGCATAAAACCTCAGATGAGTATATCCTCATAGCCTTGTTCCCAAAAGAAATGCATCCATGTGATGATCCAGTCTGCTCATCTCTATCCTCTGGATAAATCATTTGGTGAATATTAATGAAATCTGACACAGAGACAGGGCTTCAAAGATATTTAATTCCTCCAGGTTTCATGAAAAAAGGTGATTGGATATTGATTTTTTAGCTAAGTGAAAAGTTGCAGTGTAACCTTACCCCTTATTAATTACCAGAAAATGTATGTGTGTATGTGTATGTGTATGAGTGAAGGAACACAGAGAGTTATCTCAACCCCAGTGGAAGAAGTTTAACTAGAATGTGTATTTTATTAGAAATCTGAGTATCCAAACGAGAAACACAATTTGCTAAGACAGGAGACCTTCTTGCTTCATGAAATTGCTTGAGTTGAAGTAAATTAACTGGTTTGTTAGTTTGCCCAAGAAAGTTCCAGATATCAATTTATAGCTGTTCAAGAAGTTCCTACTTTAATGGAAATGAGTTGTGACAGAAAATTAGGTTTTCCACCAAACTAAGCTGAATGACCATGACTCACATGTCTTAAAGATGTCTAGGTTTTCAGCTGCTGAAAATAAATGCTGCTGACTTTTTGATATGGACTGTAATTTTCAAGAAGAAAGCTAGGGAAAGGGTTAAGACAAAGAAAAACCATGACTGGAATGTCACCTGTCCTACACAATCATCATTGCTATTGCAAGCAATCATGTCCCACAAATCCATTTCATAAATTAATCAAGCCCCATTTTAAAACTGATAGTTTTCTACTCTTTGCTCTTTTCCTTCCAGAACTCCGTTGTCTGATTCTTAGAAATCCCCTTTTAATTTCTAGCCTAAATTTACTCATAGTGATTAAATGCATTTGTTCTGCTGCCAAAATTGGTCTTTAGCTTAAATAGGTCCTCTTCATTCCTGGTGCTTATCTTCCTGGTGTATTTATAGAGAACAATCTTATCTTCTCTCAGCCTTCATTTTGCTAGGATAAATAAGTCAAGATATTTCATTTGCCTTTGTAAAATGCATTCTCTGTTTCCCCTCAGCATGCTATTAGATCATCTCTGCTCCCATTGCAATCTGAATTTATCTTGCCTGAACACAAATCTCCAAATTACACTTAATAATCCAGGTGAGGCCTCACCAGAATCACGTACACAGCATCAATTCTCCCTCTCTTTACTGGTTACAGAACTCACTGCCTGATTCACAGTGAGATATAATGGTTTTCCTCCCCTCAGTGTTGCAATATGTTGGCAGTTTACAACCATCCCATGACCAGCTACACACCCAATTCTTTCTCCAACTAATAAGCTCAAAGTTCACAGGAGAATTTCCTATTACTATGCATAACCTTAAGCTTTGTGTTATTGATGCTTATCGCTACTCCTCCAGTCCTTAGAACCGTGAGTTCTTCCTGTAAGATATTCTATTTATTTTCCGTATCTGCCAGCACTATAATGTACTGAATTTAATAACACTCTCTTATGTTTTCTGTAGAAATCATTAATAAAAATGTCAAGAAATATGGAGCTGTACAATAGGAATTTCACCAGTAACCTGCCTCCAAGCCAGTAGTTCAACACTACCGTTTGTAGTCTCTCCATTATCTCAGTCCTTATCTTTGTCTTCCTGTACAAATTGTCATCTCCTCCAGCTGGTAACTCCATAAATGCATGACACTGACTTCCCTCCTGCAGATGATTTCATTATCGTTGTAACAATCAGCATAGCTAGAACAATTTTTATGCTTTCCTACCTCTGGTAGTGAACAAAGTCTGTACTTCTTTTGTGCCTTTATTGCACTACTCTTCATAAGAAGGCAGCTTAAAACAATCCTCTGTGTAAAACTGAAGAAGGAGGCATCTTTCTATTCATTTGATCAACGAATTCCTCCTGCTCCTCCTTTTGACAAAATTTAGGTATTTTAGGAAAGGGTCTCTCCTGTTAAGCTTTGAGGAGCAGCATGACCTCAACTTTTGAAACTAATGAACATCTGCAAACCCCAGGTAGACTCCATCTCCATGTAACAAGCAAACATCTCTCCCACAACACAGATGCAGTTTTTTTTTTTTTTTTTTTTTTTTTTTTTTTTTCCCAGCTACAGTAAGTGTCTATTTAAAATAAGTTACTTTTTCTCTACAAACCACACCTCTCTGAGGTCACCATAGCTCAAACAGCAGTACTGACCCACTAACCTGGCTAAATGTGCACTCTCCACCACTGCCTCTATCAGCTGATGGCAGAGCGTGGCAAGCTCCAGGAGTGTGGAGAAGGAATCCAGGATAAAGAGCTGTTTTTCTCTGACTGTCTTCTTTTTTTTTCATCTGTTCCCACCTCTAATAGTGACAAAGCAATCTCTTGTACCATCACAGGGTCTTCCATGAGTACCTCAGCAAATAACTGCAAAGAAAGGGAAAAAAAAAAAAAAGAAACTGATAAATCATTTACATACGGAAAAGAAAGATCTTTAAATACTTTAGGGGACCATTCTCCTTTTTCTTTTTCTGGAGTAAATCATGACTGGAGTGGCTTCTGATTTGTAACATATGTAACATATGTAACATATGTAAGGTCAGATTTATGCCCACCCTTATCTATCCTCACCCCTAAAAATACACTGCTGTTTTGCCACTTGCTTCAAAGGTAAAGACACTGAATCTATAAACCTGTGGCTTTACTTGAAGGACTTAACAAAGTTTATTTTATTTATTTTCTATATCTAACACAAGATATTTGCCTTTTTTATTATAATCAACATTCAGAAGTCTTTCAGATATAGACACCTCTTCAAAGGAGGGGCTGTGTAACTTGGTTTATTTATTACTAGCTGAGGCCATTCCTCCTCTAAAGAGCGTGCAGATCCCAGCACACATGCCACTGTATGTATGATGCTCCCAAACTGGGGACAGCAAACCCATATGGTCAGCTAACTTGGCAAAGCTGGACCCTTTTCTACTGTGATGGTGGAAGCCTCCAAAAGAGCAGAAACCCCAGGAAATAAAAATTTTCAGAAGGTGCATCTTGGTAATGTGGAGAGCTATAAAGAAGTAAATGGTTCATTGATTGTTGTGCTGTGGAAGTGGGGGCGAGAGCAACTCCTGGCTCTCTGTGCAGAAGATGCTCCTGTCACACTTACACAGCTGTACCACCCTGCTCATCCCATGATGTCAGATGGGATAGATGTGGCCACTGTTATAGCTGAACGGCTTCACATATTGCTGCTTATGACCAGTGAATCACACAGACCATGAGGAAATCTGAACCCAGCCATGCAGTTATTAGTAATAAAAGTCTAGATTTCAACACCTGCCATTTGCTACACCGTCACAGCTACACTGAAAAAAAAAAAAAAAAAAAAAGGTTGAAAAGCAACACCCCAAAGTTAAGTGTCAGAAGTTGTGCAATTTTTTATTTTGTCCCTCTTCCCAAATGTGCTTTTGTAATTCTATGACTCTGGATGGGTGGGACAGGACAACCCATCTTTATGTGCTTCTTCACAGAGCTGCTGCAAGGAGAATAGCACCTTCCCTACTTCCAAGCTTAGGCTGTAGCAAGGCACACCTGTGTTAGACTTTAAAGAGAACTTGCTAAAGGGAAGCTGGTGAAGTACTAAAACACTACAACAGACTGCTTGAAAAACTCTATCACATGATGTGTTTAAGAACAGGTCAGCTATTTATCTCATGGGAATAACATAAGTCTAGCTGATCCTGGCTTGGGGTGAGCAAGAAAGATCTCACAGCTTCCCAGGGATCATTTAGTCTTGTAATTCCAGAATTCACTTTTCTTTTTATACGGCCTCTGATATTTCTACATAGGAAAATCACCTGTGCCCAAGCTGGCAGCATCTGTACCTCACCCTTGGGTTATTTGTTTATTATGAAGTTGAAAGATGCTTAGGAAGTCAGATGGGGGTAAAACTGTCCCTAGTGAAGGACTGGAAAAACATGAAAGAATGAGGTACAAGGTCACAAAAAGAGCAGCCCAGGAAGGACAGAAATGTTGATTTTAGCACACCAAGTCATAAAGAAAAATAATATGTGATCATGTAGAGACTGCATCATCATGCCTATGCAATAGGAAACCAAATTAAATCTGCTGCAGCAAAAGTAAATTTCCTAAAATTTAAATGTCAGACTTTTACAGCCTTAGCATCTTCTAAACATTGCCTGCTTGCATGTGTTTGTCTCATCTACAGCTTCTTTTGGAGGAAAAGGAATGGGTAAACACAACAAAACCTTTCCCTTTACCCCTTGGCAACAGCAGTGGAATAACTGCAAGACTCATCACAGAACTCTGCTGCTGACTTCTAGGATTTAAAATTCAAAAAGCAAAGAATTGTTTGTGATCTGCAGTAGACAACAAAGTAGTGGAACACTGTCAGTGGATTTTATTGGCAGCAGAGAGATGATGGACAAGTAATTCTTAGGTTTTGCTCTAGGCCAGTTCATCTAACCAGTTGTCTCCATGCCTCAAACTTTTAATTTTCACCCCTACTCCCTACAAGTCCTGTTATAAGTGCTTTTGCATAACTTGATCTATTCTCTTTACCAAACCATTCACAACCCTCCACCCCCACCTGAGGTGCCTTCTTGTCCCAGCCCCAATCTGCAGTGCACTTTTTTCCACATATCTTCGTCTTCCAAAGGAAGGAACGTGCTGGGTCTTAGTCCTAGTCTCTGTCTCCCAGCTTTTCATCTACCCCAGTCTTCATTCCTATATACTGGCTGCCATCCCACTTACTGAGACAGCTGTATTTTCTCTGTGCTCCTGCCCAGCTCATGCTCCAGTAATGGAGCTGCCATGTCTCCCCTGCAATCTGCTCAGCCCGCTTCCTCCGCTGCCTCCAGTGAAGGCAACATGAGTGACAGTGCAGGCTAACAGCAACTTGCACTCACTTTCAGTGCATAGAGCCAAATTAAACATGGATCACTTAGACCAGAGCTATTATTGAAGGGACAGTGGAAAGTCCTGATTTGCCACAGGTTACAGATATACCAGGGCACACAGAAACTTCAGATAATCTCTTCCTACTGAACATGTTGCAATAACGTATTTTAATTTAGTTTACACTGGCCAAACTTGGCAGGAATGAAAGCACAGCATATCACTACTTAATGAGCCTCCCCAAACTTGAAATGTAATGCTCCAAAGCATAGCTGTATCACAGTCTTATAGGGAAAACAGATAAAATAATTTATTTTCCATTTAAAAAAAAAATAACCTGATAGAGACATCCAGCATCAATAATTTCATTCACAATAATTAGCATTTATCAAAATTATAGCCAACCAAATTCAGAGTCCTACACCAGGAAATGGTGGACATTACAGTAATAACCGGTTCCACCTATAACAACATTTGCTTTAATGTCCAGTCTTTTTTCTTTTTTGCAGACTGTAGACACACACAAACAAAACCTGAAGACTTGACATGATCTCATGTCAGTTTAAGTGTGTATATTTTCCTTCTCATTAAACTGATTCTTCCTACTTTACACTGGCATGAGATCAAGTGTTCTACCTTTCTCTGTTTATTTACATTAAAAAATCTTTTTTTAAAGGTGGATGGAATGGATCTTCACAAACCATAAGCAAATAATTGAATTAAGAATCACATGGCTAGAACTTTAACCATCAAGTGTAAATGAACTAGCAAGATGACACTCTTGGTCATCGTGCTTTAAAGAGTCATTACTAATATAAAAATGGAACTTACATCTTTTTGAATCTGAGAGCTGTACAAAGTTTCTGTTTTTTCCAGTTAGCCACTCATCAACTACTAGCTGAAGTACTTGTTTTTCTAGATTGCTTGCTTTACTGGCTGTTTTTGGTCTGCAGATGCTGTAGAATTCCTGGTAGATATACTGAAGAGCTTTGGGGATCAAGCACATCAGACCAAGAGAAGGGTAAAACTCCAGCAAATAAATGTTCTTCAAAGTAGGACTTAAAAACAACAAAAACAAAGAAAGAATAAATAGCTCTCAAATAAGGCTTTTATAAATTGTATATATAAAGAAACCTTGCAATTGCTTAATTTGCAATAATTAATTGCAATGACTTTAGTGCACATCAGAAATCAATCATTAGATCTGAAAATAGAACTGAAGCCTTAATAAACGTAATTATGTTGGAACACATCTAAGTAGTCTCATTTGCTAATGAAAACAGAAAATGTTTTAAATTCTCTTTCATTAGCTGACATGTACTGCATTTACATGTCTATTATACCCTCCCATTAAAACCATCTGCACTTGAAAATAAGCCCTCAGATAACCAACACAAAATCCAAATGTGTGTCAGGGGAGGAAGAGGGCCAAGGGGTTTGAGACAGCTGCAGGAAACCAGAAGGGACCAGCGGCAAAGGAGCTCTTGGCTTCTGGGGGTGTATTAGCTGCTATGTAAACCCTTCACATAACCCACAGCGCTGCACAGATGCAGCATGGGGAACACGTGGCAGGTCTGCTCTGCACGTAATAGTCCACATGTGATAACAGAGTACATGCACATCCAGGCAGACAGTTGTACTAGAAAAGAGTAATAGACTGTGTCCAAAAGGCAGTGGAAGTTGTGAAGCCAGGTCAGGATACTGATGCAGCCATTCTAAAGTGAAGCTAACCTCAGTACCCACTTTCATCATTAATGTTTAATAGTTTGTACCCATGGGAATATTAATGTCCCAGTGCACTGCAAGATACAAGTATTACATCCACTGTCATGGAAGTGCAGTGCAAAGGCAGTTGGAGAGGAATTACTTCTGTTCCTTAAATGTTTTTCTGCCCATCTAAATAGCACAGGACATTTATCTGTTGCTTGATTCACCTTAAGCCTGTCAGTTTTTCAAATAGTCTTATTTTCAGGTGCAGGATCCCAAATTTTTACAATCAATCACAGAAATTAGAACAGAAACAGGTACTTTCTAGAAAAACAAAACTGTGTAATTACTCACCGGCTAGTGTTAAGAGAGATAAGCTGCTTAGTAATTATATTATAAGGAAGTCCAAATTCACCAATGCCACCTCTCTGACCTTCCCGCCAAATCTTGTGGACGTATTCCCTCTGGGCATCTATCTAAAACTCAGCAATAAACACGAGTGACATTGGCCAGTAAAATTCACACACAGATAGAAATCAAGGCAAACCCAACTATTCTTCAATTAAACATAAGCTGCAAAAAATTCTATTTATATATATATATATAAATTTTGAAGTCAATTATATATGTACCCACTCTAGTTGAATTATTCCTGCTAAAATTATTTTGAATCTTTCATATTCCTTCAGAACAAAATTCGAGCTCCAACAATACTGATAACAGTTCATTTTTATTCCTAGCAATATAGTAGCATTAGTGGCAACAGCAGCACAACAGGAGCCTCTTGTGCTGAAACCCAAACTTCTGCTTGTGGACTAAAAGCCAAGTCATGAAGGTTAGCTAATTAAACTTCCAACTTGCAGCCTCTGAAATCAAAGCTCAGAGAAAGGAAATATCTTGTGGCAGGATACACAGTAAAGCTGAGGCAGATTTTTAAACCAGAGGAAAAATGCAAGGATTTTAAATGTTGTGCTTTATTTATTAGCACAGGAATTTACAGCTATCGGAAATATACTGCTTTTCAAAGTGCACTTTAAAGTGAAAACTTTCTTTATACTCTTTTTAAAGTCCCTTCTCTCTTACTATAAACAGGACTGGTTCCTTATCCACTGCATTACAGAACAAATATAGATTAAAATTGTATTTATATTCCACACCTCTCAACTATTATTTCTAATTGTCTTAAATGGTAGCAGATGTGGTTTTAACATGACATAGGAAGCTGTGCAATCTTTCCAATGTTTTCTTCCTGATGTTGATTAGATGATAGCTTTCTGCTCTTGAGCTTCAGGTCTTCAACTTACAAGGCATCCATAGAATTCACTGTTAAATTAGTAGTGACCTATCTTAACAGTATAAACACATGCAGGCTATTACAAAACCTTCTCATTCCAGATTTCACCTCCTACTTCCCCAAGATGGATATAGTGTCAATTCTACTTACCTGTTGGTTTACTATGTCCCTCAGCAGTTGGAGGTGAAGTTGTAAACAGAAGCATTCATTTTCGTAGGCGTTGACAAAATAGTCAAGCTTGAGATCAAGCTGTGGACGTTTATGCATGATGTCCATTATTGCTTGGGCCAAAGCAAATCTTTCCTCTGGATCCAAAGCATGTTGGTAAGCGTCGAAGTAAACATCTAGAAGTTGAAGAGATATTCAGAAGCGCATTAGAAATGTTTATTCACCCAAATATTCACTTTGTTGAGAAGAGATTTCTGAAAATGGAGGTTGCCGCCTGTATCAAACCCAGTATGGCATCTTGTTTCTGGCACAGGATTACTCCATGTTCCATCAGAAGGCTCAAGAACAGAACATAGAATAAACAGCCCACAGGATAAATTTCTTCCAAATCTTGCATAGATAACATCGGGTTTTTTTCTACTGAAGTATAAAGATTTTTTTATTATACACATTTTTCCTTTAAAAAAGTAACAAGGCAATGCACTTACTACTTGAAAAACACCTACATCTTTCCACATCTAATCCATTTTCTGTTTCTTTTCCACCACATATACTAGTTTCATACCTTTGAAAAACTCCATTTCCCCTAGTAGACTCATCAAAGACTCTCCGTTATCTCATTTGGCAATGACTGTCACAGTTACTTTACATTTTTTTGAGAAACTCCAAATTAATTGAAGATTAAATTAAAGATGTACAAAGGTACATGTTCTCTTCAGGCTCCTCTACCAAGAATAGCTATAAAGTTTATTTAAATAAAATTTGTAATTACAAATACCCACAGCTTAGAACTGAAAACCAAATGTGCCAGGCATGACAGCATGTGAACTCTCGAGGTGATATTGTAGTACTTTCGGGTCAGATGGCAATTAGAGGATTGAAAATATTAATTGTCTTGCTTTCGAACAAATCAGTCACGTCAGTGTGAAATGATTTACATTTAGCTCTTTTACATTGACACAGAAGTGGAAAAGCACCCACATTACTTTCCCACTGAGACCAGAAGACTGTGGAAGAGGAAGATGCAGAAGGACTTAGAAGGTAACTCAGTAGCGGAGAATTCAGATTTCAATGGAAACAGTCAGTTTCTCTGATTTAGGCCTGCCTGACCTGAACTGTTATGGAAGAAACTAAGACCGTGTGATTGAGCAACAGGCCATAAGTAAGTTTTATATTGGCTAAACTAAGCTGGCTCAGCTGCTGGACAAAGGGTTATTGTTTCCTCATTCAGAAAGAACTCTATCCCAGCTGGAAATGAAGCTAGCAAGACCCTCTTCCATTTAATTTCAGCTAAAAGTGGAAGACCTCCAGCAACAGCACATCTGTACATTCAATCTTGCCTAGAGATTTAGGCTGTGAGAATAGTTCTAGAATACACTCTCTGATGGTTTTTGAAAGAGAATTAGTGTATTGTTGCTGTAGAAGTTTCATTCTTCTCTACTGGGAGATTTCTTTTTAAAAAAAAAAAAAAGCAAGTTTCCTTATACAGAAGGCCTGTGATAAAAATAAAAGGTAGATTCAGAGAGGTAGCATGATGATACAGCAATGGAAAGCAGTCTATTGGGATGAGAGCAGCAACTCAGTGAACTAGGCAATTAGTATTTTATATAGCTCCATCACACAAAGCGCCTTTAAGAAAATGGGAGAGTGGCCTTACATTTCCTAAACTACATACAACTGTTTTAGTTTAAAAGGTTTTCTATCTAAAGCCTCTTCACCAGTACACAGGAGATTCCCTAACACCCTGTAGCATTCCTGTTTTGAGAGCTGCCCTGTGTAACTCCAGGACTAAGAACAGAACATTTCAACTGTGTGAAGGCAAACTCAACTAGTGCCATTTCTCCCTGCTTCTGAAGTGGACTCTGGTCCTTTCTGCTTCTTGAAACTCACAGCATCGTCCTTGGGACTGGTGAGTTCCCTAGAATACACTTCCAAGTGCTTCTACACTGACCATGTTCCTCTGGGTCCCTTCCTCTGAACTTCTATAATCTTCATCTTTCAAGACTGAAGTCTTTGGGCAGAAACCCTCTATGCTTTCATGTCCCATGGCAAAATACAGACACATGACTAGAATCAGAGAGGAACGGGAAAGCCCACGGGATAGGCAGCAGTGAAGCTACAAATAACATTTTTAGTGTTGGTTTATTTGAGGTTTTTTTAACTCCATATTATATCATGGCATTTTTTTCTCAAATGGAGCAACTAACAAAGAAGAAATAAATTTATATAGAATCATATATATATAGTTTATATTAATAAATGGATTATTTTTTATGCTGTAACATACAAAATATCTCTCTGGTTCCCTCTGACAAAGGGTAACCCAAATGCTGGGCCTAGCCTGCAACTGAGTCTCTCCTCCATGGGCTTCAAAAAGATGCAATGAGAACAGTTCTAATGACAGTCATAAAAGGTTTCCTGCACCAGCCCCTGAAATCAGGGACAGCCTGGACCACAGACAAAATTTGCATTTTGGACTTCCTGGCAGCCCAGTCTCCTCAGGGCTGGACCTGATTCTTCCCAGTCTGCATTTGTTCCATTCCCTGGCATGCGAGGAGGGACACAATGTACTCTGCAGTTTTGCTCTGGAGATGGCTGGTCCTTCCCAGTTATCTTTCCCAGTTATCCAGTGGTGGGTGACTCTCCCCAAGGCTTTGCAGAAGTGCTTCCAGCCCCTGGAACAGCAGCTACAGAGGCTGCTGTCTGACAACAAGAGCATTTCTGCTCCCTTGTTGCAAAAACCACTACATGGGGTCATTTGGACCAAACTCACAGCACTCAGCAGCTCCAACCCTCTGCGCCCAGCCCAGCACCATGTTCCCAATGCATCTGAAACCCATACCACCACCCACAGTTCCTGGCTCTGGCATCTGTGTGTAATACACAACGGAAAATGCTGTTGAAAGGGACTCTTACATAACCTGAACTGATTGCAAATCAGTTTTCAGACCAAGAAAATCTTCTGTACCTGATTTTTTTTTTTTTCCAAGAGAGCAGTTTCACAGGTCCAGAGGTCAAGCAGCATAGCACATCGAGCCACAGAAGCATGTGCCCAGCCACGGATGTTGCTGCTACTGAATTGCTCACAAGCTACATTGCCTAAGACAAAAAAACAAAAAGTAGAAAACAAGTAGATGCCAGTGTCAGAGAGATTTCCACATGCCTAGAGTCCCAGGACTTGTGGTAATTTTTTTTTTTATTTATAGCAGAGAGTTGTGGTTTTTGCTTGCCAGGAAACCCCAGGCCAGGAAAAGATTTCAAGTCCCATAAGCTTCAGAGGGCCCCAGAGTATTCTGCAATGCAAAGAATAAGCACACCAGGCATTTGGTTTAAACATACCTCTTCCATCATCTTTTAACAAATATTCCTTGAGATAAAGTGCAATGGCTGGAGTTCAAAAGGCCCACATCAAGAGATAAAGCCAGAGAAAGCACAAGAAAACTAGAGGAGGAAAGGGAAGAGAAGCTTAATTTTTCATAGCACCAAATCATGTTGGGATCTTCTTCACCACATCACCTTCACTCTCAGATCAAAGAAAAGTGGCACAGACTACTCAGAGATAAATTTTACAAAGAGATATAGCAGGGCAGAGTGCAGACCCAGGGGAGGACTTTCTTTTCAGATGGTTTGCTATTAGAAAAGTCATTCTTCATAACTTAAAAATGACTGTAAAGGAAGGAAAAAAATCTCTACAAATGTTTCTACACTAGCAGCCCATGATAAATCTCTTTAAAAATCATGCTTTTGGTTTCTTGGTTGTGATACTATCTAAATTAGAGGTAATTTTTACAATAACTCATCTATCAAGTAGAGTGAATCTGAAATGTTTAGAGTTGCAGAGTTAAAAATCAGCCATGGGACAAATAGAAGAGGCTTCAGCAGCTACTCTTCAGCTCCAGACTTTAAGCATCTTGTTTTTCAAAAGCTGAACAAGAGTTTTTTGAAGTCCATGATCAGTGGTGAAGTCAGTGTTGAAAGTGTTTGGGTTCACAGCACACACAGAGGGACCATAACAAGGAGTGTAAGGAGCTAGGACATGACCAGTCCCCAATTTTACTGTGTGAGGATGATAATGAAGTGACCTATAAACACAAGAAATGCTATACCAGACTACTAGAGCACTCTACCTCATCCAGTAGTCTACCTCCTGTCATGACAAAATCACAGAATGGTTGAGGTGGTAAGGGACTTCTAGAGGTCACCCAGACCAACCCTCTGCTCTCAAACAGGGTCACCTAGGGTGGGTTACCCAGGACTGTGACCAGTCAGGTTTTGAATATCTCCACGGATGAAGACTCCACAATGTCTCTGGGCAACCTGTGCCAGTGTTTGACCACTCTCACAGTAAAAATGTATTTTCTTGTGTTCAGATGGAATTTCACGTGTTTCAGTTTGTGCCCATTGCCTCTGGTCCTGTCAGTGGGGACCACTGAGAAGATCTGGCTCCCTCTTCTTTATCCCTCCCACCAGCTATACATACACACTAATTAGCTCCCCCCTGAGCCTTTTCCAGGCAGAACAGTCCCAGCTCTCTCAGCCTCTCCTCAGATGAAAGATGTCCAGAAGAAGGATCATAATGAGGACCCTCAGGTGACTTCCAAGAAAGTCCTAGCAGGCATTTAGGGATTCACAGATTTGTAAAGATTTCCGGTCATCTTAATCCTCAGCTATGCCCTGCATTCTCTGTCAGAACACTGAATTTTAAGGAAGCATGCTTAAACACCAAAACCATTATCATATCAATATAGAAAGTAATTCCAGTGATTTAAGAGATAATTTTTGCAATTCTCTGAATATCATACGTGTCTGTGCCAGTTATTCACTGTTTTCTAATGGCCCTTCCCCAATACTTTCTACAATTACAAGCTTTTTCCTCCTCACTGTTCTAGAAGTACAGCTGCTCTTTTCAGAAATCTGTAATACAGTCTGTCTCAACTCAGTTCCTACCATTAAAAAAAGCAGCAGGAAAAAAAGGAAGTCTGGAACATCAAATACTTTGCAGCTTCTTATTTGCAGCTGAGAAAAGTTTAAAAGTGGTGGGAGGTAAATTTAGTTCTGCAGAAAAAGCAATCCGTTAATTAAAAGACATTCAGAAAAAAATAACATTTTTGTTTTCTGACTCTGTGCCTTGAAGATGTGCTTGCTCATTATATTACTTAACTACATCAGTAAATGTCCCTTCTGTGTTATCTTCCCTTCCAGGATGACTTTAATGACTATAACTCTGAATAAGTGCAAAACTGTGACATTGACAACATGTGACAAGCAGTTCCACATGCTCAGTTAGGTCTTTGCAACACATTCATCACTTAGCTAACTAGGACGATAAAGAAGGATCCCAAAAATCCAGTTAGAACTTGGTCCTGCAGAAGTACAGCAACAATTCAAGAAGTCATAGGATTGGCCTACCTTGAAAACAGCAAACTAAATTATCACAGGTGTTTTGGACCCGTAGGTATCTTACTTTTATCTTTCTCAATGTACTGGCTGGCCACAAGCAGCAGCTGGTTCTCAAGCTCCTTCAGGTCCTCTAAAGCCACATCATATATTATGTAAAGACCTTACTGGTCCTGTGTGTGAATATATCCATCTTCACTAGTGTGGAAGTCGTCATGGTTTTCCACCTCTGCAAACTCCATGAACTGAGCACTGTGGACCTATGCCATGAAAAAGAAACACAGAGATACAAGCAGTGGGTTCTGCAAGGATTGCAATTCTGTATAACCAATGTATGTAAGTGTGGACCAGCCCTAGGAACATGATATTTTGTCACGAGCAAAGAACAATAAAATAAAATATTGCCAAATTATTTTTTTTTTTACAGGTAACACCTACACTGTGTGTTCACTTATACTACCATGGAGTAAGACAAATTGTATGAAATTTCTATTGTGCCTACTTTATCCTTCAGGCATATAAATACACAGAACCCACCAAAAAGGCATCTAAACAATAAGGTTAGCTCTTGAACTAAGGTAGAACCTTTTCCCCTTTTTCTAATTTAGCTCAAATTTGGCAAAAAGTGTCTTAAATCCTGATATTCAAATACAAAGTAGCCTTCTTGGGTAAATTACACTTGCAAGATTTGGAGATAAGCACACACAAAGACTTTAGCACTAATTAAAAGGAACACCCATTGACTGATGTCCCAAATAGCTGTGACATCAGCACTTGTTCCATAGAATAGTTTAACAATGACGTTACTTTTCTAAAAAAAATCAGCGTCTTTAAAAGAGAATCATCTACCCTGGCAGTGAGTCACTAGTTAGCTTGGTAACACCCCAGGCAAGAATGCAGTACTGCAGTCAGCAGAAGTGACTTAGCTTTCAAAATATTCTGTTTCTTGACTAGGAATGCCACAAAGGGAATTACACACATTTATGTCTAGGTGTATAACTACAGAAGTTAATCTCCCAGTGTAAACGCTTGGCATGGGGGTATAGCCATAGAAGACTTTAAAGATGGTTCTTCTTGTAAGAAGGTAGCAAGTAAATACACAAGCTCCTCATTTTCCACTCTTTGTCCTTATGATTTCCTGGTATGTAATGCACCTTTGTTCTCACTTCAGTGCCAAATAATGACGCACTGTGTATTGGGACTTGCTCTTTTCACTGGGTCTTCTGATATCTGCCTTTACAAAGCTACCCAAACTTTACCTGATAGTGTCTGGATGTCTCAAATTCTATTAAAAGAAAGGATGGAAGAAAGAAAAAGGTATTTGGTTTAGTCATAGAAATCTTAGTCAGATTTAAACGTATTGGGAAGAACACCTTGCCAGCTTCATAGATCTGTGCTGGATCAGAATTCATTCTTTACCATAAAGTTAATGAGGCAGCCCTGCAAAATGTACGCCTAATTTGAACATAATGTCATATCAGCCTGGTCAAAGAGATTTCTTTCCTTCTTTTGATATGGTCTTCTACACTCTCTGCTTTTCCTTATTCTTCTGAACAGATTATTTGTCTTACTGCTCTTAGTAACAGGATACAGAATTTGCTAAAGGTTAAATCAAAGCCCTTTACAGAAGAATTAAATTCAATTTGATTTAGGTAAATAACTGAGCAAATACTGGGCTGACTTCACCATGGCAGGCAGAAGAGATTTTTCAGTTGTGTTTACAGTCATCCTTGTGTAGAACACTAAATGAAATGTCTCCACTTCCAAGCTCTTGAATTTTTTTTTTTCTGGTGATTCCTGCTCTGTCCCACTCCTAAAAGCTCAGCCAAGACTACTGCATTCTGCAGAAGGGGCATGTGACTAAAAAACTGGAGAGTTCTTACAAATCAAAACCAAAACCAAAAAGAAATGAAGACTTTCTCCCTGTCACGTGTGTTCTCAGAGTCATATTTTAAAGAGATTACCCAAGCCTTCTAAATACCACTTATGACTATAAAAAAATGTTAATACCCAGCTATATGTCTCTAGAAACAAATCAAGTAACTGGATATTTATGCATGATGTTTTTTGTCTGCAGGTTTTGGCTTTCCTCCTCTACCCCTGTTCGGGTTTACTGGGGCTTAACAAATCCCTTTTGGGTTATAAAGCAACACTCATGTGCGCCTCCATATATTTTATCTACTTTCTTCTAAGCTGAATCTCAAAAGGGACAGAAAAGAGTTTTAAATTAATATAATGCATTGTTTGCAGAGCCTTCTGTCATTAAAAGTCACATCTCTGATGATCTCCATCCCAAGTAGTCTTCCAGGGAGAATGCAACACTGCCTCAGAATCTCAGTTTCAGATACATTGTGTGCTAAGCCATCGCACAGGCTCACAGTTTACAGTGTGGAGGGATTCATAACACAGGTACACCTCCAATTTTGGGCATGGATTAGATGCTAAAAGTATTTTAAAAACAATGCCATATACTTCGGGTTCATACCACGTGCCAGGGAGTATGTTAGATAGGTCTCAATTAGTCTGTCAGCTAAATGGCTCTATTACTCTTTCAGTTCTTGAGAGACAGTCCATACAGTATATTAAAAAAAAAAACCCACAAAAACAAACCACACATTAGAAACTGTTGTTAAGGAAATACTGCTGCTCCTGCTTCTAAATTTGTTGCCAATTAAATTGTAATAGGATTAGCAAATATTTATCTAAGCTTTAGTTGAAGTTCAAGCATATGTATCCATGTATTAGTCCAGGGGAAAGAGAGGCCACTGTGAAATAATCTCTCTCATTACTAGGGGCTCTCTGAAGTATTTCACAGCTAATCTCCAGATCAGAGAGTGCTTAGATGGAAGGTCAGGATTGACCTTTGCATAATTTCTTCTACAACAGAAAAAAAAGGAAATGAAAATAAATGTATATTATGCAGAGCTCAGAAGGAGAGTTTGTCGCAAGAGTACTTCCTGGAAAACTGACACCCCCCATTGGAAAACAAAAGTTTTTAAATTACTTTTTCTAAGTTAAAAATGCAAATATGATGGACCACTCGGTTCAACATCTCTTAAGTGGAAGACCATGATTTTTTACTTCCAAGTAGCTTTTCTTTTAGGGATTTTAATCGATCAGATTTTTAAAGGATATATGTGGCCATATTAGAAATAAAACTGAAGATACCTTAAAAATATCAACTCTATGTCCTCCTCACACATTTTATTTTCAAAGAGGTTTAGATTTTTTGATGTTTAGGGACATGAAGTTTTTTTCTGGTTTGGGTTTTTTTGAGGGGAGGGGGGTGTTGAAGTCTTAACATAAGCAACAAACAGGGGCAGGAAGTCTACCTCTTTTTTGGTTCTAGCCACAGTTCTTCCATGAAGTGGCCTGTGTGTTTGGTTCCGTGTGTTTCTACAGAAAAAAACAAAAACAAACAAAAAAACCCAAACAACCACCAAACAACAAAATAAACCAACCCCCCCCCCAAAACCAACACAACCAAACAAGTTTTCAGTACATAAGAAATAAATGTGAGCTCAAAATGTTGAAAAAAATCTACCATTAAAATACTACCATGCTTCTTCAGGCTTTCTGCATGAGAACTTTGGGATGAGTGTTAGGTAGCAGAGCTGCAAGGAAATTCTACAGCTCAAAAGTCAACATATTATATCACATCAAACCACTAATGTCAGTATGATATATTAATTCTGTTCAGTATATTTTACAATAAAGTTGGGGAATCCAAAGTTTGATAAGCCTTAGAAATTTATTTTGAATTATTATTTTTCCAATCTGTGAAGCTAAGTGTACTAATTATATCCCTTCAGCCACATGCCCTCATCCAAGATCAAAAACCACTAAGTCTTAAACTCTGCCTAAATCTAAATAATACATTTTAGAAGTCATTAGGAGTTACTTAAACAAGCATTTCCATAAATTGCAAAATGCCTTAGATTTCTTAGGAACATCTACTCTGTGTGATAATCCCACACTTACAAAGGTCCTAGTAGCACTGCCAACAGCACCGGTCTAAGTAAATGTTTATCTGACAGGCAGTATTGATATTATACTTCTACATGCCTGAAGTTTCTCAGAGGTTTGCTATAGACTGCTAGTAGATACAGATATTTAGTCTGTTAAGGAAAGACATGTGGTTCTGAGGAACAAACTACCCCGAATCCCTCAGATGATTCAGCAGTTGATCTCAGCATAGTTTGCATGGAAGAGAGAATGGGATTAAGTACTCCTGTTGAAGCACGTGTTTTGGAAGACTAAAAACTGGGTGATAACTCACCTTGTAGTCAGCTGGTGTGTAGTGAATATACGGCTGTGAACTCAGGCCTCCAAAAACACCAGTGCCTCCTTTGGCAGCACTGACCCAGGAGGTGTCTTCTGCACTGGGAATTAGGTGGCCGGCCTTGAGGGAGAGGCCGGCGGTACTGATGGTCAGGCTTCTCTCTATGGACCTGAAGTAGTTAAAGATGCCCAGGCACACCTGCTGAAATAAACCGGAGCAAAAGCACAGTTGCATTTTCAGTTGGATGACAGCTCCCCTCGTAAGAAAATTAACTATGATCTCTGCAGATTTTATGTTGAGTTTTTTTACCTTTAGCTCCCGGACTCTCAGGTGATGTAAGAAAAGAAGGGACAAATAGGCTCCTCTCCTCACCATGCACTCCGTGTGCCCTCTTCTAATCCCAGCAGCTGCAAGCTGCCTGTATAACTATACCTTTTTCCAGACAGGAAAAATGCAATTACATTTTTGCTACTCAAGGAGATTTCTAAACCTTTCTAAAGTGGAGAGTTTTGCTACATCTGTTGTCTAAGAGAAGGCTGCTGCTGCCTACAGGACTGACTGTCATGGAAACCTGCGGTATGGAATAACAGAAAAGGATGCACTACTGCTTTTATCAGAGAAATAGTAGGTTGATATCAGTTTTCTTCCTTCTTTCAGGTTTTAATAAATATATACATACATACAAAAAATTTTTTACCCTCTTTCATTCTTCTTTCTGAAGGATGCCAGAGGCTTACTGGAGCTGGTATTTCCTACATCCTCCCTACTGTGATCCACAGCTGTGTTATCATTCTCTGTAGTTAGTTCCTAGTTCCAACACACACAGTTAAAAATTGGTGTGGTAAATATGCATATGATTCGTATTTGACAGCTTTATGCATAGGCTTTACCATAACAAAAAGAAAAAATAGGAAAGGAAGTGCCGTACTGGATGAAATTCATAATCCAGCCAGCAGTGAAATTATCATGGCATATAACTCCACAATATTTTATTGCTTTCCAATCTTTAGTGGTTTATCCTTATAAAGTCCATGGGCTGTATGAAAAAGCTATCCCCGTTCCAAAGACAAGACTGTGTCAAGGGTCAGAGCGACGAAACCTTCCAAAGAAGTTCAGAACATCTCTTCCATCAAAATCTCAACCCAGCTATGCTAGTGACATGTCTGACCTCCTAGTCCAACCTTTTTCCTCCTACCATAAAAGAAAAACTGATTTCTGGGCTCCAGCAGATCATAGGTTGAGCATGGGGCAAAATCATAGTGTGGCAACAAGTAAGTAACATCAGCTAGGCTGTAGAGAAGTTTTACAGTGATGTATACACAACACCCAACCCAAGCATATATTAAATACTCTAGTTAACATTCCATAAAATTAAATTCAATACTTGTGGTGGGTTTTTTTCCCCCCACTCCTTTCCAGCACACTCAACAATGTATTACAAAGAGTAACAGAGGAACAGCAAGCAGGAAAAAAGCTACACTTGCCTTGTTACCAACTCTATCCTGATGCCTTCTCACATGCATCAGGAGTTACTCACCAGTCGGTGAAATTAAACTGGCATTAGTACCAGCGTAAATGAGAAGATCACTGTGAGTCACACAGTATTTATTAATTGTGGAACATTATGGACTAGGCATTATACAATTAATTTCCTCAGGCAATCAAGTATATAAGAAAAATTTGTCCTCTTTACCTACTTCTCTATCCCAATTTATTTTACCACTTCATTTGAACTTGGATGGCATAAGTTGGAATTCTTTTCAGTGTGTTAAGGGTTTTATAGCATTGATTTTGGCATTGTTTTCTTGGATTAGAGAAAATCCTATTAATATATCTTCACAAATCGGTGCTTGTCAAATTTATCCTACTCAACATGAGACATCCTAACAAAGCTACTCATAGAAGTGACACAGATAAACTCGAGACTATGTTGGGCTGTTCTATAAATTTGAAAGTTGACGTGAGTGTATTGTCTCTAAAAATTCCTTCAAGCCAAACAAATCTTGATGTCAAAATGTCAAACAAAGAATTCTTTACATAATCCTTGCAATGATAGGTTATCTGTTAACTGATTTCTCTATCCTTACTAAGCATGATCATCCTCATTCATCTTATCCTCGTTGACTCTAAAGGTTTAATTTCTTAAATTTTAGAGAAACTAGGTCCTTCAACGTCTATTACTTAAAATAATGTGAGGTCAAACAGAATTAAAAAATATTTTCCTGAATCAACAGCATTAATTGTACATCTCTATTAAATATCACAATAAGTATACGGACTAAGCAGGGGATGAAGCATTTCCACTAAAAAAAGATACAGACAATGCTGTCTGAAAAATGCAAGTGAAATGAGGAAAAAAGTGATGGCATATTTTTGTGTAGCAGCTGAATTTCTATTTTAAAAACACTGAGACCTGGACAGAGCTGTTCTGTGGAGGATCTAATTCTAGTTTTCCAATAACTGTCATGACTAGACTGTTTCAAATTTGAGATCAATCACATCCCTTGCATTGCTCCAGATAGGTATTCTTTCCCAGCCCATTCGTGGGCTCAGTGCACTTGACAGAAGATGCACAGTACAATCCTGTTTTCTTTCTTTTTTTTTTTTAATTAATCATCATGTAGCTGGTGAGTCAAACCAATGTATTTTTTTCCTGAGGTTTTCATTAAGTAATCAAATATTTCCTGGTCAAGGTCAGCCTGGGATAGGAAGAACCGTATGTTTTTACATGTGGGAGATTTTCCTGACAGAAAAATGTGGGTTTATTTTTTAACATGGAGTTGGTATCAGGCTTGGGGCAGATATGGAAAAAGGGAGTGGGAAGAGACTAAATGCTGGCTCTCTCCCTCTGTTCCCTCTCCCCTGCTCCTGTATTACCTGCTGCCCTGCTTGGTCCTGTCCAAGTGCAGGGGAGCAAGACCTTCTCACTAGCACTGCGGCTGCAGCCAGCCCCAGCAGCTGAGACCTTTCCACTTTAAAAAACAGCTGAGCGAGGATATTGTTCAGTCCTTTCTTAACTTGCCACCCGGGGCCCATTGGTGTGAGCAGGCAGGCACAGGCAGAGTGAGACAAAGGAAGCATTGGGCTGCAGATACAGGAACTTCTGAGATATAACAGTCCTGTGCATAGTGGTTTTATATTTGTCAAAGCAGCAGCTGTGAATGACTTCTGAGTCAGAAGGACAATAAAGAAATAGGTAATCAAAGTCATACACTGAAATTCAGAAGATTAGTCACAGAGCTCGCCACATAAGGCATGTCACAGTTACTACAAATTCCCCAGATACCTGAGAGGTAGGTCTTACTTCTCATTCGCTACCCTGCCAGTTAGCCCATTTGTGGTTTTTTTTCCTCTCTTCCCAAACTTGAAGATCTCTCACAGCTTCTGTACCTCCGTGAGGTCATGCCCACAAATGCCACTTCCTCCCCAAGAGGAGGAACTTGCTGTCACACCTGCCCTGCACAAAGCAGGCATCTGCTGTCAGGTCCACAGGTGCTCAGATGCTGGATGGCCTCCAGCAAACAAAGACATCCCACCCTTTCCTCCCCTCTCCCCCCTACACACATGCCAACCTGTTCCATAAATGACACTCTCCAGTATATACTAGGGCACACTTCTATTCCTTGAAGCCAAATTCACACCCCAGCCCTGCCACAGGCATGTACACACACTATTTTTAGGTAGGTGTAATCTTGTGCTGCTTGTGCTATGACTGGACCGAAGGGTGCACAGCAGCTAGTGAGCATCAAGGAGGAGAGGACATCGCCGATGTGGCTTGGGCGTGCGACCGCGCACTGCAGCTGGGCAGCTCCTGCTCAGCAGCAGTTAGCAGGAGGCTGAGTTTTGAAATAGGGGAACAGTGGTGTTCAAATAGAAAACTCTTAGAGAAGCCCTCTATCAGAGCTGACAAACACTTGCTAGACATGTTTAATTGATCATTATTCTTCATTTCCCCTTCTAAGTACCTGGTGGAGCTCAGTGCAGACATAGATCTCCTTCCAGACATGATTGTAGCTCTGCTGTTCGGAGGCATGAGAAGAAGCGGTAGAACCTGACTGCACAGGATGTGGCTTGAACACTGCTGCCGCATGTTCCTGGAGACCTTCCACCACTGTCTCTATGTCCGAGACCTTGTTTCAAACCACATCAACACACAGACAAAAGATTTACAAGGCAAACAAGTCTGTGTGCAGCCCCTGTCCCATAGTGAGGCAGAGTCAATACAGAGCATCTAGTGAGGGAGCCTCTGCTTGTTACTGCTTCTCCTTTATTTGGGAGAGTGGTCTGCTGCCCCCTTTCCAAGGTGAAAATGTAGAAAGGGGCTTGCCAGTCACAGCATATGGAGGGAATACACCAGATAAGAAAGAATAGGAAAGCGCTTTTTTTCTAACTGAGATTTAGGGAGGGGACTATTGGGTGATTCCTTCTCTCTTGTTACCTCTGACACTCAAGGAGATATACATGTTTCTTGACCAAAACCAAACATATCATATTTGGCGAGCAAGCCACAATGGAAAAAAAAGGAGAATGATCTTTTTTTTATTGTCTCAGTGAGCTGCAAAGCCATTTTTACTTTTGTTAATGGTGATGACGACTTTTGCCCAAGCTTTTCAGAAAAACTACATGCTGTGGCAAGATCTGAAAGAATGGTTTCTTTGTGAAAAATCTGGCATGGACAAAAGGTCTGAAAACAGGGATCATAAAAGTAAGCTTATTTCAGTCTTAAATTTTTTAAAAAAGACCATAAATTGCTAATCTTTCTAAGACTATCATCAAAATCAAATACATTCAATTATTTAAAATACTGTAAAATTAACTTCAGCAGCAAAGTCTACACATCCACTTTCTGATTTCTTCAATTTAAAAAAAGTTCTCTCTCAAATGCTTTGTGAGACCATGACAGTAAATAATGAATGTTAAATAGGAACCAGGGAGACTAAATATATAAGGAGTACTGCCAAAAAACAGGTTAAACAAAATTATTAGTAGTACAAAGGTAATTTTTTAAAAACACATCTAATCTTGCAGGATTTTTTTAAATTGTCACTTGTATTGGAAGAATAATTTGAAAAACATGGTTGTGCTTTAGTAATTATTGGCATCAGTAAAATTCTGTTGACATGAATTCTAGCAAAGCATTGATAGGAATTCTAAGGGGATTAAGACCAGGAGTTTTATAGGACTTTTCTTTATCATCTGTTTTGAACAAAGATGCTGAGAAGTCAAAACAAATGGAACCTTGTATAACTCAGGATAAAAAAAAAAAACAAACAACAACCCCAAAACAAAAAACAAGCAAACAAAAAAGGAGGGGCACAGGGGAATAAGCAGTCTTTAACAAAAATGTAAATTAAATATCACACCCTATGGAAGATATTTTTCCGTTCATTTCCCAAACATTTCCTTCATTCACTTTCTTACTGATTGGGAGTCAACAACTTCTGATCCTTTACTGCTTCTCTGCTAAACATGGTTACCATCTGGTGTTCCACAGCCAAGCACCTTTGTTCCCTTAGAGTTATATTTATTTTTAGGCTTGTTAGACACTGAAACACAAAATGGGAAGTCAGGCAGTGGGAAGACGCTTCTGGAAGGTGAGCAGGGTGGGAAGCCAGGAACCTTCATTTTCTCCTTCCCAAGCCATGGAGTAGCTTGCTCCAGCATAGCTTCATCACCCTCCTGCCTGCAGCCCAACAGAAACTGCTTACAAAGGCTCCCTGTTGCTGTTTCAATAAGGACATCTTCAGGTGTTGGGATCCTAAGCAATCCTGGGCTGGGCAACAGAGCAGGCACCATCCTTGCATGTGGTCCAGGGCTACAGCACCAAGGGCTCTACCTTGCTGAGCTGGCACTGTCTGCTCTGCCTGTTTCTGGGTGTTTGCATGTTGCTTTGGTTGCTTTTCTGACATCCTCGCCCCTGTTCTGCCCTGTGCCATCCACAGTTGCCATGCAGATGGGAAGCCGCCTCCTCCTCTCTTCAGCTAGCACCCCCAAGGAAGGCAGCAACTCCCACGGGGGTCCCAAATCAAGGCTTGCCCATAACTCAGACACATACAGAGCATTATCTGGGGCTCTGTGGCAAGCTCACTACCCCCTTTCTAGACAGCAGGGGATCTTCAAGGCTGAGGACAGAGATATTTGGATGGCCTGCCGGCAGTGGTTCTTTGGGGAGAGAAGACCAAGGAGCCCAGTGACATTTCAGGGCTGACGAAGCCTCTCGCATGAGCTGGACACATGGCTTAGGCTGCTCTGGTGTGCCCAACACTGCCCAGGTACCAAAGGAAGGGACAGATCACCAAGGACTTTCCATTTGGCAGGAATGTGATTATTGATAGAAAAGGGCACACAGGGGCATGACTCCTCCACAGCTTTAGAGAAGGGATTTATTCTCTGGTTCCTGTGTAAAACTGAAAGCTGAACTACAAGGTGTTCTTATTGCTCAGGGTCACCCGGGGAAGAGAGGCAGAGCAACCATCTGATTGCCAGACCAGTTTTACTGGACGAGATGTTTATACAGATCCAATTCTACAGTAGTTCACCATCTTAATTGCACTAGTTTTCCTCATCCTTGAGAGGCAGAGAACTCTTGTTATATCAGCTTTCAACCTGCTCAACTTTCACCGGAAAAATGTGGCAAGACCCCAGTACACCTGGCCAGCCTATCGCACCCTGAAGGTCATTTAGGCATCTGCAGCAGGCGGGAATGAGCAGAGCTGACTGGGCATCTGCAAGTCAGCCCTGCAGGGTACATTCAGTGAATAAGATGCAATTAGGACAAATGAATACTACTCTTCACAGATGATCTCCATTTGCAAGACAATGATGTGTTGGTTGTGCCTCAGGCTCCTTGTGGATGCAAAGCAGGCCTGATCTGTGAATGCACATTGCCATTTTTTAGATGGCTGGCAGCCTAGACCGAGCTGTCCTGTAGGACATCCTCAAAATGGCCCAAAATGGCAATGTATCACCTGAATCAAGACAACCTGTGAAACTAGAACCAAAATAGAGACACTCAGTAACTTCTCCCTGGGGCACATTGTGCCCTATCAAGTTTTAGACTGTGAAGCATCTCCTTGTCTTTTGAGCAGAATTCGGAACCTTGGTCACAGTTTAAAAAAGCTGTTCTGAACAATCCCTTTGACACAAATTCCAGGGCTGATCTTGACCTGATTTATATGAACTTCAGAGCTTTTGAATATTCATGAAAGTGTTCAAACGGCCTTTTGAAACCACTGAACTGAGAAAGAGGGGAGAAGAAATCTCTATAGCACCTTAGTAATGAGTCTTCAATGAATTCAGGCATATACACATGATACCTAAACCTGAGGCAAGCTTTCTCTAGAGATATCAATTTCCCTGGAAGTGAACAATAAATAAATTAAAATCACTTTAAATTAAATCACTTTACGTTATATTACCTCTACAAATTTTGAATGAAGGTCCATCAGCTTATCCACTTTTTTCCATTGCTTCAGTTTTATCAAAAGCTTTTGCTGCCAGGGATCTGCTTTAGGCTTAATCTGGTTGACATAAAAGTAACCACAAAACTTATGAATATGACTACATATTTTTGGTATAGAAGGCAATATTTACTAAAGAATGTGCAATACATTCACTTTTTATTTTCAACAGACATGAAAAGGGGCTCTTGACTATACAGAAATATAGTAGTTTGATAAGGCCTGAATTTATAAAAAAAAGCATCACTCTATTTCTCAAAAGAAACATTTTAGACTTTAATTGCTGAAATGTGTCTTGGTACATCCTGAAGACTGGTTAGCACTAACACAATTGAAAAAGGAAAGTTCTTCAAAATTACCTTTAAAAAAGGGATTCAGTTGGCTCTCTTTTTCAAAGCTCTGGATGGATCTAGCACACCCCAGTTCTCTGACTGAGAAACCTCTTTGTCATAAACTGAAAAAGTTCTCATTGTCTGTTGTTTGCAGAAGACACTTATAAATTTTTGGATAACCTAAAGCATAAAAAGAGATGGTACTGTTACAAATTTCCCAAGCTGGATATTAAATTCTATAGCAAAGTAATAGTGCATATTATCAGCTGAAAAAGTAAATAAATGTGATAAAAGTGACATTCTGGTCCTGTGTTTTCTCTCCTTTCCAGAAGACACAATGAAAAAACTCCCTACTGTTAACTCTGCAGCCTCCAAAAAGAAGATGAAGATTTTTAAAACCACAGTCTTTCAGACAAAGTCAATGGCAAATTTATTATTGCTGGCTTCAATAGGAAGAGCATTAGCCTAGAAGGTGTACTTTGAAAATCCTGTCCAAAAATTAATAAGCCACTGCCAGCCTACAATGAAGATAATTTACATTATTGCCTAGTTTTGTAAACAAATCTGCCTGTGTTTATTTTAGATAGTTCAGTGAGTTCAGCTAGACTAGTTAAATGTTACTTTGATGAGAGACTTACAGACCAGTTTATGCAACCAAACCTTTGCCCTTTCCAGCTGTACCACCTGTTATCATACAAGGTGCAATTTGTAAGGCAAGCCATGTATTTAAAAGCAGTATGTTATTTCTGTTTAACAGCTATGCATCTCTTTTGGACCCTGGACACATGGTGGAGATTTTCAGTTGGTTTTGCCTTTTGGATGAGAGAAAAGACAAAACCCAGAATTTTCCTGCTGGTAACCCCTGAACTGCAGAGGCTGGGCGAGGTCCTGGGCGATGACGTGTCACAGCCGACCTCTAGTGGAAGCACCACAGCTCGGGGAGACACCAAACAAGGGCAGGAAAACTCGAGAAAAATTCACCAAAAGCCCTAGTGAGAGCTAAGAGAACAAACATACGGAATCAGAACCATGATGCTGAAAATCCGAACATGAGCAGTTATTATAGCTTAGTCAGAGCAAGCCAAGCCTTTCTGCTGCTTCCTGTTAAGAGCAAAAATGCCCACAGTCTTACCTTTCCATGATGCAAAACACTGACTTGTAATAAATGGAAGTTCATTCCATACTTTTAAAGAATTTTTTTTTTTTAATTTTTTTTTAGTGTTGAGAAGTACATTTCAGTTACCAGTGAAAAGAGCACCATCTCATCATCTGACTTCTTGAGGTCTTTAAGGTTGTAGTCAATACCAAAGTGAGAAAGCAGAAGCTGGAGCTGAGGCTTCAGCTCCTCAGTTTCAGTGCTGTGCTGGGGCAAAATTATTCCAGTGTCCTTGTGGCAGGATTCTGTAAAAAGCCATAATCAGACCAGCTGGAGAACATCAACACTTTAAGAAACATGACTATAAGATGCCTGTAAGCAATGCTGCCAGTGCCCTTTGCTTTGCATCCACGAAATGATGTAATTCCCCTTTTTTTGTCCTGAAGCAGAAGTATGACAGAGAATGGAATGCGATGGTGAGAAAAACCCACATTGTATGGATTTTTAGTATTTTCATTTCTCTTAAGAAAGGGTCTTCTGCTACACTCCAAAAGACTTACAGCTGTTGCAGGTCAGGGCACTTCCATGATCCTTGGAATGCCTATCTTCTAGCATGGAAAGGATGTCAGCTAACAAATCCTACTGCCTGAACAGAGTACTGGCTCAGGGGTGGACAACATTCTTCTCACACACACACACCTCCCAAATCTTCACATGCCACAAGAACTTCAAGTATGTTACTATTTCAGGGTTATCACTCCTCCGGTATCTGATTCTGGCATGATGTTGCTACTGCAAACTTCTGAAACAAGGCTGTACTGGGGATGGCTGAGTCTGGCCTGGTATCGGTGTTGAAGAGTCTGTTGGCAACATAGCACCATTTTTAGAAGAACTGTTTTCTCCTCCTTCTTTACCTCATCTCAGACTTGCTCAAGGCTTTGATGGATATCAGTATTCCTTCATCCTTAAAGAGCCAAAACTACTGTGTTCCTCTAAGTTTTGTCATCTTTTCTTCCCCTTTTTCCACTCATTGAGAGACATAGTTAACATGGGGGGTTTGGTCAACTAGTTGGGCTTTGTCTTAGGCCAAGCCATAATAAACAGCAGCACTTTTTCTGCTACTACTTTTCCAAAGATTTTTGAAAGTCCAAATAAGTGTCAACTGATTTTTCTCTACCCAGTACTCGTGGGTACTACTGATACATGCAAAGATCCTAATAGGTCAATTACAGTTTGCTAAAGTTCAACAAAACTCTTGGGATTTAGTGGAACTACATGTAATCTAATTTATTATCTAATTGTTTCAGCAATAAAGGGCCATCTGCGTTTCTATTCCATGCTTTACTTCAGCTTTGGTTTTAATGTCCTGTTTAATCATTCTGTTATTTCATCTATGAAGCTCAGATCTAGATAGCAGATGAATGAAGCTTATGATGGTAATATGATACTGTTCCTCAAATATTAAATAAGTAGATACTGAAGATCAAAATGAGCTAGAGCACTTGTAAGTTGCTTTTTAATATCAATAAGGGTCTACTCCGTGGAAAAATGAATGGCTTATGTGAACTCTATAACACTGTAGTCTTGCGTCCTTCTTTCTACATTATTAGCCCACTGTATCCCAGATCACCCCTCCCTCTCCTATCCTGCTCATATAAGAGAAATGTAGCCTGTTTAAGTGGCTTCATTTGGAGAGAAGAGTCTAACCCACCTCTCCCTGTGCCTTAACATCTGTAGCACTGTACTCCTGGGGCAGTCCTGCCATATCTCCTCAACATGGGACCCCCTCGGGCCCAAGGAGTGAAAGCGTGCTGCAGCAGCACCACCAGTTAGATCAGTTAGAGCTTAGTTAGACTACTAACTAAGGGCTAAAGGCCCCTTATTTGCCCCAGGTAAATCTGCACTTTCCTTAGCACTAGTCTCAATCAATTGTCACTGGTTGGACAGTGCCACTCCATACCAGGGCTGTGCCTTGCTCCCCTGTGCAGACCCACAGGAACATCCCTTGTGGTAGAAGTTTTCAGTGGAGAAAGGAGATGGGAGGGACAAGTCACAGCCCCTTTTCATTCTGTCACCCTGGCCAGCCCACTTCTCAAATGCAAGGAGGCAGCATACACTCTGCCTAGTCCCCAGGAGAGAGGAGTTGTGCATTTCCAGAGACAACCCTGTGAGCTCCTATGGTTCTGCACTGTTCCCACTCTGTAAAAGCATGGGTTAAATCATAGGATTGAAACACCCTGCAACAGGAATGCTGCCTTGCTTGCTAAGTACCACTCACAGGGTATCTCCACATAAACAACATCACTCCCTCCCTTCCTTCAAAAGGGAAGTGAACTTGAAAATAACCACGAGGAGATTTTTCTAGAGATACTTCAGTGTAAGTCTTAAAAGAATAGTTCTCTCCTCTTAGTTTCTCCAGAAACACATCACTCATAGAAATATTTCAAATAATATTCTTGTAGAAAGTTGGAAAGGTGCGTTTCAGGGTTTGGCATAATCAGGACAACATCCTGGATTCTCCACCGAGTTGATCCCACAAGTATCTTTCTGAACCACCTGTTTCTGCAGCCCAGGGCACAGTAAGGCCAGAGGAGCAACCGCTGCAGATTCAGGGCTCCACACCCTGAAATTTGAACACCACATTTCTAGGATTCTTGCTGACTTTATAAGCCACACTCCAAATTTCTCAAGCATAGGTATTATGTAATGTATGCTTCCTGTAAGCATACTGATTATAGAATCATCGAATATCTCAAGTTGGATGGGACCCATAAGAACCATTGAGTCCATTGAGCAGCCAAGGATGGCAACATTTGCACCGTTGACCTTTCTCAAAGAATATACATCAATAAACGCATTATCTGAAGCACTTGTGGTTTTAAAGGAAAGCTGATAATTTCTCACCATTAGTCTTAAAATTCTTGAACAGGGAAACATGTCAATATTAAAAAGATCTGAATTCTTGTCAAAAGCACTTCTTAATTTGTCCCAGCTGTCTTGGACCATATCAGGATGTTTATCCTCAGCCACATTCATCTTGTGAGAAATAGGTAAATGCTGGAGAACCTGGAGTTAAGAACATACCTGTTGTTTCTCTCAGTCATTTAGAAAGCATACAAACTATTCAGTTGCAAATTTATAAAATAAAACACAAAAGAGAGAAAAAAAATCATAGTTATCCATTGTCTATACGTCCAGAAGTTGAGTCATTCATATAATAAAGTATAGCACTCATATAATAAAATCATTAAGGAAACTAGATAAAATAAGGAAATATTAAATTTTCTTTTTGAAAGGTGATGCTTAAACAAACAAATACTCATCAAGTCTACAGACTGTTCATTGAGATGACTCAGCCCTTTGACAATGTCCTTTTCTATCAAAACATCATCACAGTAATAATAAAGTGTCTCCAAGCTTTCTCCTGCTCATTCTGGATCTCCTCAAATCCAAGCAGCCCAACACTATCTACACTGAACCCAGGGAGCTCATTATGGCCCTTACTTAAATTCAGCTTTATCATTGTATAATATTTCCTTTCTAGTAAAATCAATCTGCTAAAAGAATTGAAAGTTGTATGTACACAATCTAGCTCCCTACCTACAAATGTCTAGATTTCTTTTACATTGAATTTGATCTTCCTCAGTTTCTTATCCAAGACTTGAAGGTTTCATAATCATACTTCACTGTTCAGAACACACTCTTCTTACCTGGAGAAAATGGTGAATGCTCTTCAGAGAGTGTAGGTAACACACACTAACCACCGAGTGTAAATCATCAGATCTTCCTATGTCACTACATTCACCAGATTTTCCTTTCCTGTCAGGAAACTTTCCCTTGCTGCTGAAAGTCTTGCAGCCCTCTGAACTGCATCATTGTATTCCTCCATGATGTGACTAATTGCTTCTGTTTATGTATATAAAAGAGACACTGTCATTTTAAAATTTCTGCTTCTTCTAGAAGGTAATTGCATTCCCCCTGCATGAGGAATCCTAGCTTGAGAGTAATATCAAAGGTTTATTTCCTTCCTAAATGCTTACAAATGGTATTTTCAACCCAATGAGGAAAAGGAAATTTCAGTCCAAATAGTGAATCTGTCTGAGCAGTTGACCATAAACAGACAGCTGTGAGTGAATGTCCAGAGACAAATTACCCTTAACTTTAATATCCTTTTATTTGTGTGGAAGAAAAGCCATTGCTAACACTTTGTTTTTCATGAGCAGCTACTGTGCTAGATATATATATATATATATATATGTGCTACATCGTAGGTTTTGGTTCTTACCTGATAGAGAGGATAAAGCTGTTCAATAACACTACTGTGCGTGCAAAATCTCTTCCATCTAAGCATGTGCAAATATTTACTCTGGACTAGCTGAGTAATTCTGTCTGTAAAAAACTTGAATAAAATCAGAAATAACCAGCAAATCACACATTATCAAACAACAGCAGCTTAGCATTATAGGAAACTTAAGCAGTATATAGATCATCATTAGCATCAGAGAATAACACCAAAACAACAGCTAACCAGTCACCAAAGACTGCTGTGCTGTTTTATTTGTCCATGAAGGGTACTTCCCCTAAGTTGTCGCCGTGGCAGTATTATTGTGGGAATGAAAAAAAACAGTCAGTACAAGGAAAATGTCAGAGTTCAGTCCACCGGAACCTAGAAATTTAAACTCCACGTTAAGAATGAAAATAAAAATAATTCACAACACAGACTTACGAGACGAGCACAAAAGCAAAAGAGAAGAGGCAATTTTCCCATCGTACGAGGGAATTGCAAGCACTAACATTTTCGTTCCCGTTTTCAGGAAGGATTTTCATACTGGTTTTATTTTCAGATGTGCACAGTGCAACCTGCTGGGCCGGAGGAAAGCTCCTGAACCCTCGCAGCAAGCGGGAGCCCTACCTGGTGCAGTAGCAGAGGCAAGTTTGTTGCTGTGTGCTCCCTTCTCCAGCAGCTCTCTAACTCCCTCTGCACGACATCAGCCTGAATAACAAGAGGTTTTGCTTCTGCCACCTGCAAACGGATCACTTTTTTTTTTTTTTTTTTTTAAGTGGTAAATACAGAAAAATGCTTAGGCTTTGAATTTAATTGGGAGTTGTCATATAAACAAACACTGCAGAGCCAGGTCCACATTATTATTCAAATAAAAGACAGGTTATGCTTTTATTGCTGCATAAGCAACATTATAACCCTTTCCATTCTGTCTTTACAGGCCCAGATGCCAAAAACCTTATAACTTCCTCTGATTTTAATTTTCAGTTAGTACTTGGTAAAAAGCAAAGAGATTTTTTTTTAGTCAGTGTACATTTTAGCTACCTACCTGTAAGGCTTTCTTCAGTATTACCTCCCTTTCTTTTCTGAAATAAGATGCATCCTTTGGAATTGCAACAGAACTGCAAGAAAAAAAAAAAAACTCAACAGGATGTTACATACAAGCTGGTATAAACCAAACATTTGTCAGGCCCTGCACAACTCCATGAAGTTAACAGTAAACAAGTTTAATGGTATGAAAAGTCTATATTAACGCAGCAGAATTTATTTAATTAGCAGCTTTTTTTTTTGGCAAACTGTTTTCTTCCATCTCTATTTTTTAGTCAAAGCTCTTAAAAAGTCCATCTGGATACTTGTCAATCCTATGGACACATATTACAACCCACAACTATGCAGTGGAGTTCCTTAACAAGCATCCTTCACAATTTTGTCAACTTCCTTCCTAATACATCCACATCACAGAAGAAGGGGCTGAGAAAACTTCTGGAGGAGAACTATTTTATAATACTCATGCATCAACGTTGGACATGAGGAAAAGGTTCTGCACTGAGAGGGTGGTTGGTCACTGGAACAGGCTCCTCAGGGAAGTGGTTATGGCACCAAGCCTGTCAGAGTTCAATCTAGAGAAAATGGGCTAGAGACATAAGTCCAGCTCCTTTCCTTCAGGTGTCCTAGTCAAGTATTCTTCACCTCTGTTTTCCTTCACATATTCTCCAGGTGGTCTATAGCTTCCCCGAAGCGTAATGCCCAACTTGGGCACATTTTCATAGCTTGCATCTCACCATCGCTGAGGAAAGTAAGAGCAGCTGTCTTATATGTGACCGTTCTGTTTACATCCCAGCATTACATTTGAAGCTACTTCCTCTTCACTATAAGAAGGAAATACTTGACATTCTAGGGAGACTTAAACTTTTGTTTACAATATACAACATGAAATCAATTTAGTTTATGTTTTGACATTCTCTTCCATTTCTATCCTAATTCCGTGGTAGACACAATAAAAAAGCTGCTATTCCTGGCTCCTGGTGTGTATTCAGGTACAGAAATTTAAGAGTGATATAGACACATGACTTTTGTATCATAACCAAAAAAACCCAATAAGAGACATGATACACTGCTATAATCTCACTCTCTTCTTCATTCCCCAGAAAATTCTTGTTACCTGTATGCCCTTCTCTGTATTCCCTGGAGTATCCTGTTGTCTTCTATTTCTGACTTCAGCTCTGCCAGCTGTGCTGCTAGTTCTTGTTCCAGCTGCTGGACCTTCTCAGTAGAAGAGATCTGGTACACTTCATCCATTTTGCCTATTTCAGTTTGGCAGACCAAGAGACAAAGCAGTTGAGAAGAAGTTCCTTTCTCAAGAGCAAATCACTTGTGAGCTCTGGACCTGGAGAACTGTCCACCTAAAAAGCACAAATTCCCACTCCCATATAGACTATATATAATATGTAGCAACTTCATTAAAGAATTGTTTATACAGCATCTCCTTTAACAAGAAGATTTTTCCTTCAGTATCAGGAACGGAACTGGATGAATGTGATTTTTCTCATTTTGATTGCTAGCCTGAGAAAAATAGCAGAAAAACTCTTTTGGCCCCAAAATTTTCTAGTATCCTCCTGCATCCCACTAACAAATACCATCTCCTCCCTCCTTGATCCAGTTTCTTAAGGACACTTCAGAAAGTTTAGGTAATTAAACATTAAATTTGATGTGCTGAATAAAACATTTTACAAAAGAAGAATTGAAATATTTTGCTTTCATTTTTTGCAAAACAAAATACGTTGACATTCAAAATCTATTTTACCCCATTTCCCTCACCTGAAACTATTATTTGAAGTTGACCAGAATAAAAGGGATGAAAGAATTTGCATGAAATGCCACTTTTTGACAAATGTACTGACTGCAAATGATCCACTAATACCAAATGAATTCTGTTCTAATGGGAAATGCTTGCTTTGTAAGAAATTCTAGAGTAGTTGTGCATTCTTCCAACATCTAGAATTACAGTTATTCTATTCACTTGTCAGTGAGGAGTATAAACAATTAAAAAAAAAAAAAAAAAAAAAAAAAAAAGGAAATTGTCTTTTTAAGGGAAGAAACAAGTGATTGCGGAAAGGTTTGGGTCTTCTTTCTGGGAAGCAAAGGGGAGGAAGAGGCAAGTTCAGTCACAGAACAACCATCCATAGCAGCTATTTTCTCAGTGGTTTGCAGAATCTGTTTGGTTGCTCTGGTCACATCATTTCTGCTTTCTTCTTTCATGAGAGATAACAGCTGTTGGTCCAGTCACAGATTTGACTTGACAAATGTAGGAGATGGCCAAGAGGCTGAATATACCAGTGCAGGATGTACCTTTTGGGGGTGCTTCTTGCTTGACGGAATCCCAAGGTCTTGGGCAAATCCTTGTCTGTTATGGGACTGGCCTTGCTGATAAGAAGAGCTGCAAACTAAGCAACTGTGGGAAGAAATTGAAGAATTCAGATCTCTGCACCTGAATTTCACAGCTGAAAGAAGAGGAAATTCAGGTAAGAAAGGATACAGAGAAACACTAGGGGACAGGAAGACTACAATGAAGAAGGAAGTGTTACCTAAAAATCAGACTAAAAGATTTTACTGAACCCAGCCAGGAATCTGGGTGAAATCAATGAAAAGCAGACAGTATATTCATACACTACAAACAGATACCTCAGTTAGTTCTTGAACTAGTGATGCAAGACATGAAAGCTGACAGTATAAGAATAATATAAATAAGGTGGAAGAGCAAACACACCTTGGCAGCAGGATATGAGATGCTTTGGAGAGACTGAATTTATGGTAAAGGTGATGCAATAGTCTGGTATTTTAATTGATTGACATTTATGAATGGCTAGCACAGGTAAAAGGTCAAAAAGAATTTATTTACATTAGATATACTTACTTTGGAGAATGAAGATAAAGATTTTTACTAGATTAGTACTAAAAAACCCTAAACCTGCCATGCTCTACAAATGTCCTCACTGAAATTACTCACTGAACCTAGATGGTATTTCAGACAGTGGTAAGTGATAAGAACATTAGAGAAGCGAACATAGTCTGGGATAGAATGGAAGAATAAAACCAGATGTGTATGTAAAGTGTTAAAGTGCAAAAGGGCTGCTTTAGAGAAATTAATAAAATTAGAAAATTAATGTAACTAATACTTCAATGATTTTGGAGAAGCTGGAGAATCTTTAAATCAATGATAAAAAGCCAATTGGAACTTGACCTCAAAATAAAAGCAGGCAAAGAGGTTGGAAGCAAGGATGGTAGAGCCAACCAAGAAATCATCAAGAGGAGGCAGAGAACAAAAACAGGGGGAAGAAAAAACCAACCTAAAAATTCAGAGGACTGGGAATCCTAGAACTAAAGCAAGAAATACCAGCTAAATTAAAAATTGCTTAAGAAAATAAAGAGTAGGCTGTTCTTCAGATATATAATTAAGAAGGAACCAATAGAAAAGAAATGATGCCACTATGCAGGCAGTGGAGATCAGATTAAAATAATTCAGATGTGGCTGTAGAACTAATGGGAGTTATTTAGCTCAGCTTTTTGAGAACACAGAAGTTAGGTTAGCAGCGATGCAGTGGGAATATGAAATTACCATTTCTGGGTATAAAGCAAAACTTTTGGCAAAATAGTAAAGCTTCCCATAAATAAATTCAGGTTGCAAAAAGAAGTCATCTTAAGTACCAAAAAAATAAAATCCTGTGTCTTCCTGAACCACAGAGCACTGAGCGTCCCATTTCCTCATTTCAGATCAGTGAGGCTACTCACCAATGAGGAAGTTACGATAAGCAGGTTCTCAGGACAGGCACCCACATTTACACCAATGCACAAAAGGCTGACATGAAAACCGGGAGAAAAGTGCTTGTATGCAGGGAAGTGCACAGGATTCCCAGGCTGTCAGCAGCCCAGGACTTAGTCAGTACTTCTGAAAATTTTGAAGAGCTAACCTAGGATCCCCAGAAATCAGAGGAAAGAGCTCCACATTTCACCAGAATTTATCTGGCCAAACTCTGTACAGTATAAATATCTTCAGTTAAGCTCACCAATCACCCCAGACTCCCTTTGTAGTCGTCGGTAGAGAGAATCAGGAGTTTGGAATAAGATTCATCTGACCTGGTTTAGCTGTTACCTTATGGTAACACTTTCAGGAACACTTGGTTTTCTCCACTGATGGAAGCGACACTACGAGACCCACATGGAGAGCCTGTGGAGACCTTCAGGTAAGCGCTAGAGCTGCAACCCAGGACACTTGCAGAAGCTTCAACAGGCCCCAGCAGGGTATACTGTAGAGGCAGCCTTGCCCACTTCAGTACAGGCAAGCCGAGGAAAACAGAAAATGCTTCATCAAAAATAAGAGCATATGTTTTATTACCCCCCCTTCATTGTTTTTTTCTGCTATAAAAATAATTGTGTGTTTGTACAGTATTCTTATCCTGGGAATGTCTTTCAGTCCACATGAACATCTGTACTTAGTTACATTAGCCAGTATCCAAATCCCAGCAAGATCCTGCCCTGATTATTTCGCTGGGAGTGTTTTTGCCAGCTTCTATTCCCAGAACACACTGGATTTATAGCTATGTCCAACCTCCAGCTTTGCTGGTTAGAAGATTGTAACACACATGCTCAAACTGAATGCCTTTTGTACTAGAAAAAGGTCTTTCCAGCAGGCTTAAGTAACAAGCCATTAATTTGTGCTAGCATATTTCATTAGCAGCAGGAAAGTGAACTATTACTGGATGCAATTTGCTGGTCTGTATTTTTAATTATACTGTTTGACCTACATCTTTTGTCCAATTTCCTTAATTGTCTAGCCATAAAATATGACCCTAGATTCAAATACTAACAAATTTTGCATAACTCAGCATAAAAGAACCCAGATTTTGAGTAAATAAAACAATTAGTCTTTTTTTGGATCTGTGTGGTTTTGTCTGCTGCCCGGTATAGCTACATTCAAAACATTAATAAAAACAAGAAATACGCAGTTTTGTCTGAGAAGACAAACAAAAACATGCAGGACATAAATCAAAATAAGGATCTGCAAAAGAGTAGAGCAAGCGTTTATTAAGCCAAAACATATTGTTTTTGTGAAGAAGCCTGCTCTGACCACTGTGCTTTCTCCAAATACACGTTTATGCAGTTCCAGGCCAGAACTTTTTTGAAGCGTAAGACACGAAGCATTCAGATCCCAGCAAAACTCACTATGATCTGCCTGCCTATTTCTTGCTGAGCTGAACCTCACCAACACTTGTGTACAAGCTTAACTTCACCACTGCTGTTTCTGCAGAATTATTCATTGCTGTAAATTTCCTTGAAGACTTATTTTATGTGATTGACAATTGCCTCAAACTGTCAATATGCTAACGAATAAATACATAAACATATCTCCTACACCCCACCCCCCACCCCCAATACAATCTGAAAATAATTTTTCCCTGTTTCTTCCAGCAAGAAAACTTGTTTGGGATACACTTCCTTTGTATCCGGCTTGACCCTATCAGCCATGCTGGAGCGCATCTGTTTTGCTTTAGTATGTGAAAACACATGCACTAGAGAAATAAAAGCTCCAGAAAAAAAAAAGCAGCACAAAAGAATTATTAAAATACAATTAAATCTTCCAAGTTGAAATACAAGTGATGTACCCCTGTCAAGTAATGTAAGCTCACATATCATCCATTCCTTTTTTCTACTCTCAAACCCCAGCTCCTGGCTCTGAAAAAGACAGCTTTTCCAGCTTCCCCCGTCCCCCTCTGAAGCAGGCAGAGATGCAAAACACCCAGCTGCCAACAGCACCAGGTTCAGCTATTTCCCCTTCCCTTCAGCCACTCGCCCCGCAGAAAGGCAAACACAGCAGGTTTTTTCTGGGACAAGACAGCCCCTTTCGGCACACAGGGGAGCCTTTTGAAGACTGACTATTCAATGCTTCCATCATTTAAGTGCTGCCCCATCCAGTACCTGGTGGACCAACCCAAAGCTGCTGCTCTCCACTGCAGCTCCTTGTCCAAGAGAGGAGCCAGGGCCCTCCTTCTCCAGCTCCAGCTCCAAAATGGCCCCCTCTTTCCGGGTTTCTATAGTCAACAAAAGTACCAGGTCAAGGCACAGAGGGACCCTGTGATCAATGTGCCGGCTGCCTGCCCAGACAGGCCCAGCTGTATAGCAACCCCACGCCACAGGCCCTGGACGTGTCTTGCTCTCACTCCTGCCACTGCCATCATGAAAAGTTGTTTCACCCTTTTTTATGCACTTCGGGCAAATTGCTGGCAATTTTTCTCTCTCAATTCGGATGTTTTTTGTCTAGGGCTGGACCTCCAGATGAAATATAAGGCTCCTTCAGGCTTGGTAAGGTCCTTCTCACTTGCTCCCTCTCACACAGGCACAGAGCTTCAGAGATTATTTAACTCTGGAATGGCAAAGGCTTATCTCATGGCAGCAGAATACCTACAATCTGAAAATGGTAATAGCAGAAATGCTTACTTTTCTTTTGTCTCTGGTATCAGCAATTCCAGTGTCCAGAAATGAATAAACCTACCCCCGAAACACTATCTACACCAGGAAAACACCATGTTTAGAACTGTGTTTAAGTGTTTTTAAGCGTACAGCATGCTTTTCTAAACCAGAGATAATCCGTAAGAAGGATGTCTATACAATTTAAGAGAGCATAGGAAACCCATACCCAAATATCAGTTAAACAACCAGGTCTTCCACAGTTCTGATAAAGATGTTTAGTACATAGAAACTTCCCCTCTCACCCCCTAAAGTTCACACATGCAACTAAAACAAAAGTTTAGTCTAAATTTAAATTAGTTGTCTAAAAATTTTCCTAATCCTTTCTCTTAAAGGGTACCAGAGCAAAATTTACTGTCCCAAAGACCCAACTTTCCATTAGGGCTACACATCATTACTAGCCTTTAATCAAAACCCTTGACAACAGAGCATGCCCCCAATTCTTACTGAGAAATGCAGACTCATTGCAACAGAGCATGCCCCCAATTCTCTTACTGAGACCACTACATTCTCTTTATACCTGAGATCTACAGCAGAACTTCACTGATATATCCCGAGGAAGCTGTTTTTTTCTGACATATTGCAAACCCAGTCAGTAACCTCGACTAGAATATATTGCAACTAAATAACCAGTGTTGATTCAAAGTCACTGTTACATCTTTTATCATATGTACATAGTGGGGGATGAAAAAGAGCAGACTCACTATTAGAATAAAGACCCATTTGTACGAGTACACAAATTCCACAACATGTACTGGTACACAGTTCAGAGTGTCCTCTATGACAGCTCAGTTATTTTATACTGTGGTAGAAGCAGATTCTGTTGATGAGAAGACAAGCACCCAAGATTCTGGTGGTGGCCCCTCCCATACAGTTATCAAGAACACTCTCATGTTGTTGTGGTTTAACCAAGTCATGGGCTGTGCTTCCAGTCCCCAGCTGTACCTAATCCTAAGAGTGTCATCAAAGCTTATAGAGTAATAATATTAACAATAATGGAAATGTATATAAATAAGAGACAATACCTCTTCTTCTGCCTCAGTTGCAATGATCTGAATCTTCAGTTATTAGAGAAAAGGGAAACCACTGGCTTTTTTTGAACTAGCCCAAGTCAATCAGGAAAACCAAGATCTAAGTATCTCCTTGGCAGCAGGGAAAACAGGACAACAAAGATCTCATACTATTTCAAGTGTAAAAAAGGTATAAAATTTTATTTGGCAAGTTAACAAGTAAGCATTTAATTAATCCATTAAAACACTTCATTACAAGTCAGTGTAGCTGAATTATAGCTACCCTACATGAAAGTTATTTCTGAGGTGAACAAACTGACCTACTAAAATGTTTTTAATTTTTTTTATTTTTAAAAGGCATTTTGTGAAATTAAAAATTTACTAGCTGTCAGACTTCAAAAACTTCTAACACAGTAAACTTCAGAACTATTGTTCTCACATGATATAATTTTTTTTCAGTCTTGACTGAAGTTTCTGCACATTTTTTAGCAGCTGAAGAGAGCTTCTGCTTTTCTGCCCAGGAGTACTTTCCCTTACGGCGACTGCAATCTCCTTTGCTTCCTTTTGGTCACCACACTTTCGTTTGACATGAGCTGCCCCTTGCTTCAATTTCTGAGTTTTTCTCTTTAATTTCTGCACCTACGAAGGAAGATTACTAATTAGAATGCTACATACTCAGAAGACCTACAGCTGTAGAGTTTATTGGACTTCTACTGAACTTCAAACTAAAGATGTTTAAGGGACATTAAAAAAAAGGTTGAAACCTACTACTCTTGCAAACAGTTGTCTCCCTGTAACAGAGAGCACTACAGAAAACTGACCTCGCCCACACAGAAAGCATTACAGAAAACTGATCTCACCCACACTCAAAAGGTTGTTGAAGCTCATTACTCCCTAATGTAAAAAGGCTTGCTTGAGAGAGACAGAGTATCATCTGTTACCAATTTATATTTACAACGGACTTTTTCCATTTCATATTGTACTACTCTAACCAAAAAAAACCCCAAACAAACCTGTAAAATGTATACTGTTTATGATCAGTTACTATATTTAAGCAGTTTACTTTGAAGCCTCATAACAAAATTAGAAAACAGAGTAAATAGGGTTGATTGCTAAAGAATGTTTTTTTTTAATGTCAAATAGTAAGTCTTGACTTGCACTCGGCATGAAAAGGTCACTCCCAAAGATAAAATTAGGCTGGAAGCATTCCATATGCCAATTTAGGCTTTAAGTCCATTTCTAAAAATAATCAGTTTTAATTGCATTCTAGAACATATTATTAACTGTGAAACACATAGATGACTACACCATTTTTAGTATGAAAGGTTGTAAGAGCAGAAATATGCATCAGAAATATTAAGACTGGTCTGTACAAAACAAAAATGTCTGTGTGCAAAAGCACCAGAAAAAAGATACAGGCCAACGTTTACAGGACCGGCCTATATTGATAACCAGGGCATGATGGACAGTAATCAAACTGACAGACATGAAGAATGTGCTATTTACATCATGACCCTGAGGCATGTGCTCTGATAAGGCTGTACCAGAGCACAGATGACTTGTCAGTAGATCTTCACCCTGATAACAGACAAGGCTGCACCACATTGTATGTGCTATTCCTCTTCTCCTCATCCAAAAACGAAGGCAGACTGTAGCCATAAAGATATGCAAAAGGAAGAAATAAAGGTGCAGTTGTTGTCCATTGTCTCAGGTTCCTGGAGGATGAAGTCAGCAAGATTCTGAGGCAAGGAATATCACTATAATTGTTGGCTCCTCAAGAATATAAGAGATTTATCCAAAAAACAGTTGACATTGCCAAGAGAGGCAGTGAGGACTCAACAATGTCCTTTGTCCACATTGCTAACATGCAACCCCGACAGGACTGCTTTGACCTAAGCACCTTTGTGCTTGCAATTACATGGACAACAAAAGGTTTGAGTGAGTAAAATCTATCAAAGAATGAACATGAATAAAATCGGTGAGATTTAAATTAACCATCACTTTCCCCTTTCATAAGGTTTCACACTGAGATTTTTTTTGTTTCTTATCTAAGCAAAGTTCTTAGGTGAGTCTATCCTGGAACGTAAGATGGAAGAACAGAAAACTATCAGACAGAACTATGGATTACATTTTTTATCATATGTTCCAAAGCAAATTGCTACAAAAGGGTTAAGCTGTTCATCTACAGCAGAGTGATTTTATATGGCATGCATGAAAAGCTGTTATCTGTGGCTCTAAAAATGAATACTGACAGAATGTGTACAGGTTAGGGGTTAAACAAAACTGAAAGGCTTGGCTGGCTATGACTCTGAAGAAGTTGGGGTCAACAGACTATTTGGTTAATAAAAAGCTTCAATATTTCAGTTATATAAAAGACATTAACCTGGTCTGTACAGGAATTACAGCTTTTTTCTCATTCCACAGAGGGACAGGACACAAAGGAATTAAATCTCAACAGTTTGCCTGAATGCAATGAACAGAAGTGACAGGCCAAGCAACCCACCTCCGTATTGCAGAACTGCTACAGGGCAGGAAGTTTTCTCACTAGCACAGATACCTAGCTGCCAGCTGTAAGCACTTTTTCTTGATCAAAAGAAGGAATTGGAGGTACAAGAACACTGAGCTAGCAGCCTAATTATAATCGTCCATCCTGGAACACCGTGGTTTAAGAATTCCAGTGACATTCCAGTTAATGACAACAGGAGGCAGAGTTGTGGCAGCCTGCAACTAGAGTGTTACTAGCTAGACAGTTTACATCTTATTCTTACAGTTGCCTGATGCTTTTTCAACTTGGATATTTGTTCTCCTTTAATCTCCATTTGTTTTGCAAGGCAATTCAACTCCTGTTCTAGGTCTTCATAAACTTCAGAGTCTTGGGTCTCCTGTATCTGCTTCAGAAGTTCTTGACGCTCACTATTAAGGACAAGAATGGCACACTAAGTATTCATAACATAGCCTCTAGGATTTCTTCCAGTACTTCCAGTGTATTGCAGGAGTTGTTAGCTGTTTTGTCCAGGGTACAGCAATTTAGCATTATTTACCCCCTCACATAACACATACTAATCTGGCATATATTCACACTAGAAAAGAAAAAGGTTTTCCAGTGGGTCTGATTTTCACATTCCAAATTTGTAGTTGATGTGCATCCTACTCCTCCCCTTTGCCACCAGTCATAACAACTACACGTGTAATAGTGTGCAAAATGAGATTTTGGAAAGTGAACAGCAGCTATGCAGCATGGTATTTTCACTTCCTGCCCAGTTTAGTGCTGACTTTGAAAGCTTAGTCTAATACAGAAAAGTATTGTTTAAACTAGTACATTTATAGTTTTTCTGACAGATAATTCATATTTAAATGTTCTACTCAAAAAGATTTGTAATGAGGTTTAGTGGTTAATCAAATTAACCAGCTTAATTAAAAGAAATTGTGTAGATCTACTTGATCTCTAGATATCTGAACTAGTCAAAAACAAAGACCCTCTCTTAGATAGATGATCTCTTTACAAAGGTCACAGCTTGTTTTCTGTCTTCTGAGTAACTGCTTCTCCTTGACAGTTCAATTGAAGCAACTGGTTGTTGCTATTAAAGAAAACCAAAAGCCTGCCTTTCAGTTGCCATGAGTAAGCCAAAGCTTTTTGAAGAAGAGATTAGTTGCCAGTTTAAATTTTGACACATCAAGGATTTCAAACCAGTGACAACATCCTAACTGGTTTAACCAACACATCCTCCTCTGTTCAAACCACAGCTCATCGTGTTGACATGTCTACTATGACCAGCTACATGGCTTTGGCTCACAGTTCTACAAGCTTGCATTAATGGGAAGATGCCTAAGAACACGACGTTGTAATCCACATTTACTTGCATGGCTAGAAAGATGCATACACTCCCATCTAATGCGTTAGTTTCTTCCACACCCTGCCCATCTTCGGGCAGGAGACTGTCCCTCTTTCACAACCCCCCTACAGAACTGGCAAGTTCTCCTGTTATCAACGAGGAAAAGGTACGAACACCAGACTGCGTCAGCACAAAGACCCATCAGGTACACACGTACAGGGAGAACACAGAAAGAGTGAGTACAAATGAATAGGCTAGATATTGTGACAGGACTATTCCTGCCACAGCTGTACTAACCTATCCTACCACTCAGACTGACTGCATGCTGCAGACCTACTCAACATTAACACCACCTTCACAGCCTTCTCCAGGAGAACATTCTTAGACTATTCTGTAGATCTCAGAATATGTTTAATATTTCTAAAAAGCACAGGCCTGAAAGATTTTCCACTTGCTGCAGCTGTTACTTTAGTAGCAACTCGGTTAAGTACAGGACGTGGAAGCAGAAAAAAAACAGTTGAAGAGTATGTTGCTTGCTCACAAGACCAGTTAGACACCAGGATAGAAAGAATTTTTTGAATGAGAAAAATCCTACCACTCAGGCCTGTTCAGGCCATTCTGTCAACAAGTCATCCTACACTTAAAACAGGCTAGGTTTGACTATAGCACACCTGTAGCTTCACAGGGTTACCACTGAGGAATTTTAACTCGTAACACCAGGGATGAGTACTCACAAGCTCATTTGGCCCAGCTCGTCTTGCATGGCCAGCAGAAGGTCTGAAAGACTTTCGGTAGCCATAGATGATGTAGAATAAGAAGATGCAGATTTTGAAAGTGTGCTGCATCCTGAAATCCCAGACGTAACTTCTCCTTGGCTTCGTGATGAGATATGTGGATTAAGATGCTTCATAATATGCAACACACTTTGTATGTTTGCACTAACAGAATGGCTGGAGCTGATAGACTTAAAGCAGAATTATTAAGTGGTTTACAGAAGTGATTAACAATTACGGTAAAGAGACTTATTCAAACTGTAGATGCCAGTTTAGCAAGAGCATTTTGTTTCACTCACCTTCCCAGCTACAAAAGGTAGTTCACCAGCCATTACATGTAATTGTGAAAGGTGCATTTTCTTCATTGTAGGATTTCTCTGCCATAAGTTAGACAGAAAAAGTAAGACAAGAAATTCCAGTCTGCTGACCCAACAGCATAATCTTAAACTATTTTTTTAATAACTAAAATTCAAATAAACAAGCTGTGAAATGCATGACCTCAGTTTCCCTCAGGTTTAAAAAAAAAATAAATTTCTCTCCTATATGTGGAAGGAATAGGACTTTCCAATAGCTGAGACAAGTAAATTTTATTCCAGGTACATTTAGCACATACTTTGACAATGAGGTTGACAGTGAAGAAATTGAACATTGCTTACTGTGGTTTGCAAAACCACAGTTGCAAAATTTTGACTGACCTGTAACATGTGTTGCAAAATGAATTCTCTTGATTTCAGCAGTCCTCCCAAAACACACCATCTTAAGATGCCCAGTTAAAATTGCTTTGGAAACTAATTTTGTCAGATACACTGAAAGGCAGCTAAGACAGGATAGAGGGGGTGGCAGTAAGACTGTAACAGAGGTTACTGTCATGCTGGTAAGGGAAAGTTTTCCAGTGAGGTGCCACCAGCCCTAGCACAATTTTAATTACCAATTCAGCACTGTTTATCACTTTGGAAATGGAGGAAAGTGCAGCAGACAAATTAAGTGCCTCTTACATCACTGTTTTTCACAAATTCCAATCTTTGTGCAAGTCAGATGCTATCAGCAACAGTATGATAATAAAAACCTTTCATGTTACCTTCTTAGTTTCTTTCTTCTTCCCATTTTCCTTTTTAGGTTTATTTTGAGACGTTACTGGAGACATTAAAATTCTGTTTATCTCAAATCCTGTTTTAAGCTGTGGGAATAAGCAAAAAAGAAAACAACCTTTTAATGTAATATTTTAAGTATGATATCACATGGTTTAATTAATTCCCTCTTTCATGCATGGATGAGAACCAATTAAGGGCACTATTAACTGTCCTGCTTGGAAGGCATAAACTACACTTAAAAACTGAACAGGTTACTAGGATGGCTGGGTATCGGGCAGATCTTGCAGCTCTGTTTTAGAAGTCCTCATTTTCATATTCAGCTGCAGCAGCTGTATTTTTCCACTGTGACAAGCAGTAACTGTGATAAGCTGATCCTGCCGCATGCTGGGGATCTAATCATGAAATCCAAAGAATATGAACATTTGTATCTTAAAATCTGGGGGCAGAGAGAACCGAGCCCATCTGTGTAACACTGAGGTCAAACCTGCTGGACAATCCTCAGATTGCTCTGTGGTTCAAAGCTGATAAAAAGGCCCATGATAAACAGGATAATAGCCATTCCCAATTAAACACAGGACAAGGACTTTGTTTTGGCATGTGTAACAGTTCCGGCTAAACAATGCTGGAGGTCCATCCATATTTTGGCTTCTCTATCATCAAAAGGAAGTGAACCACCCCACCCCCTGTGTTACCCAACCCAGATTCAACAGACCTGAACTGATCCTGCAGTGAACTAAGATGGTATTAATACTACCTGAGGACTCAGTTTACTACACCTAAGTTCTTTCTTGAGCAAATGTTTATAATACTGCTAAGGTCAGACTATCTGCTCTGGGAAAGTCATTCTTGATATATTTCTCAGAAGATAAAATCTCCATGCAAGGCTTTCTGCTCTGCAGCAGCAAGCAGTTTAAGCAAGAAACCCAAAACCCTGCAAGGTTTCAGCTGTGTCATTCTGCTGGAATTCTGCTGGTCAGGTACCTGGGCTACAATCTGCATGTTATTTCAAGCTTCCTGGACTGATGAAAGCCCATCATCCTCGGATGAGGTATAAAAACTGACAGCAATGATGAATTAATTTGTCAGCTTTGTTTATGGCTAGGTTCTTTCAATATTATTCTTCAGCTCTGCATACCCCCACCCCACCCCAAGGGAGTGCCACCACAACTGCTCTCTGTCAAACTAGCTGCTACTTCTCAGTGAAGTGAGGTTTAGAATACCTGAAGCTACTTTGTCCCTTTAACAAAATGTTTCTTTGAATTTGCTCTCTTTTGGCAAATACTTCTCTCTCAGATGGATGGTGGCCCAACAAACTGGCTATGGCTTCACAGAATAATGAATTATTCAAGCTCTCACTTAATGAACAATGTAACAGTATCACTGATTAAAGACTTTTCCAAGTGTAGTCCAGTATACTAGATTTCAGCAGATCTTAACAAAAAGAGGAAAACAAAGAGAATAACCAACCTTACTTGGTGTATAAAGTTTCTTACATGACCACTGACCACTTTCCAGTTACTATAAATCAAGGTTATCTGATTTAGTTGCAGATTCTCTAGAAATTAATTCCCCACCCAGATCACTTATAGCAGCTTTGAGGCTGATGAACTGCACCATTAACACATAACCAAGCAGAATCTTTCTTAAGATATGCAACAGACCTGGCAAGCTTTCGACTATGTAGATTATAAGAGGTCTAGGTAACATTCCACGAGTTCTTCCCGGGTAATAAATGTGGCGTTTAAATGTAATTTAAAGAAAAGGGTTATTTTTGACTGACAGATTAGCTTCCTTCAGTAATGAAAAATAAGATAAAATAAAACCTTTTCAGTCTACCTGAGCAGTTTTGTCTTGTATTAGCTTACACTCATGCTCTTCTTTACAATGATTTTCTTCTAAGTGTTTGATCTTGTCCTGAATTTGAAAGCAAAAATGATTAGTCACACTTCAGTTTGACATGCTGAATCAGAAGTCTGAAGTAGCTTGCAATTGTAATCTGGATAAAACAGGACTGTAGGAATTTTTAAAGCCCAGACTGAAGAAAAGACTCATGTAAATGAAGTCAAGGTATTCAGTCAGGTATGCTTTATAATCTCAGCTTTGAAAGAGGAAACTTTTGCAAAACTTAGTACTATTAACAGTATGCCATACAAATGACATCAAATGAATGACTTGCAGGCTGTCATTTCATTCATGCTTACTTCTGCAATTCTCTGAGTAGCAGTAAACTTAAGACACTCTTCTTCTAGCATTTCAAGATTTTCAAGTTTTGCACACAGTTCTAACTGGTTCTGATGTTCCTCTTTATGAAGCTGAGCCTGGAAAAAAGTAAGCAAGAACAGAGTTGGCAGCTGACTGAAATTGTTTCAGGCAACAAAAAACCAAACACACTACAGTAAAGGTGTTTAACTAGTTTAAATTTAATATTTTTTAAATTGCAAAGTGATGAAAAATACCAGGCAGACAAAGAAGACTTAAGTTTCCAGCAGCTTTTTTGTCTACCAAATGTGCAAGTATTAGCATGGTTTTGCTCATTAAATGTTCCACCTAGGGAGTCTTTTCATACTATTCGTTGAACGGTTGTCATCTGTCAGTCAGACAATAAATTGCTTCCGTTTGCTACCACCCTGAGAAGAGTGGAGGAAGAATGATGGCCATAAAAAAAGTTCTGATCTTCCACATTTCTATACTTTTTAACTATATTGCTACTTTGTCGGTATGCTAAAAGGCTTCACCTGTTGTAAAATCATTTTCTTTTCCAGTTCCGCACTGGAAACCATTTTCCTCATGTAATCCAGCTGTTTCTCCAGCAGGGAGCAGCGAGATTGTGCTGCATTTAACTGCACACTTATATCTACAGAGAGAAACAAAGACATTCAGTACAGCAATGGGAGCTACACATTTGGCCAGTCTGTCATCTCACTGAGGAATTCTCTATCTTGAATGTATGCAAGAGAATTTTGTTAGTCTGAACAGGTCATGTGGTTAAAATATATTTTATATATAAGACATGAGAATCAAGATGTTTTTCCAGACCTAGTACCTAATATGAATTCCAAAGGTGTGAGCACTGCGGTTACTTTGATTTGTATCAGCAGATATCTAAACAGAATCTGGTTTCTTCCCTTCTTCTTATTTTTCTCAAGTTAGCAATGTCAAGCAGCTGCTTGCTTATTGTAGAAGTTAAACATACCACCTGAAATCTGCTTATTCTTTAAAGCAGCTGTATGGGTTATGCAATACTTGGTTAATATATGTAAAACAAGATCTCAACTTGATTCACAATTATCAGGTTCCTGCCCCTCCTCAATTCTGAAGCAAAAGGGAAAGGGGGGGTGCATTAATTAGCAGTTTGTCAAAATAAACAAATACTCCCTAGATCTTGCAGTTTTGGAGTTGCTATGGTTACACCTTATCACTCAAGAGAAACACCTTTCCTCTGTTGCATCATTTTTTGATGTGCTGTGTCCTTTTTGTAGGATTCATGCTCTAAGGCCTTCTTATACTGAGCAGCTGCTACGGAGAGGCTGCACAGATTATCTTCAGCCAGTGACTTCTCCAACTCTAGCCGGCGGATCTTTTCTTGAAGAGTTTTCAGGGCTGCCACCAAAACTGGCAAACAATGCAACAGTTAAACCTTAAGTAATAGTTTCTATTGTTATTTTTACAAAATGCTTCAAATAGCAAAATACTACCTACATTTTCTTCCTAGGATAACCCCTAAAATGAATTATATTCCCCATTAATACACTAACACACAAAGAACATATCTGGGAGAAAACGGACATGTTTACTGCACAGCTGAGGTATAAAGCATAGGTCCTATGAACAAAACTATTTTCACTCCAAAGGGTAGCAAGCACAAAGAAATCAGGGCAAACTGAATAGAACAAACCTTGGGATTTCTGTTCACACAGAGGGAGGGAACACAGGTACCAAAGTTAGGTCACAAATTTTGGTGTAATGCAACTGGTGTGGACAGACTGAAAAAAACCCAGCGGACTCAGGACAGGAGGGAAGTCAGATACAAAGGGACATTTTAGTAGAGGATGCATATTAAAAACTTTATTGTTTCAAAAGGTAATTCAATGTCTCTTGTATTTGATGATTATTTAAATCATAGAAACAAGTCAGCAAGATTTTGCTTTTAGCCTCAAATCAGTATGTGTCAAAATTATGCCATAAATAAAAGTTGCAATTTCAACTACAATTAGAAGTCTATTCCAAAAAGTATACACACCTGTGGAAGTTTAAGACATGTTCTGTAACAAGTCAAGCTTCTTTTCTGACATGTTATAAGTCTTGATAGTTTCTCTATACCAATTCTTTCAGTAAAGGAATACCCAGAAAACACTGCTAGCTCCATAACAACTCTCATCAGCTTATCATAACCCCATTAGAATAAAATCAAAAATAAAAAAAGAAACAAAAAGCAGATACCAGAGAGCAGAAAGATGAAGTGGGACCACTTCTTCCATATTTCTATTGGCATGCCAAACATTTCCTTATTTAAACACTTAGCTGCATAACATTGAACTGAACATTTTAATCCAAAAAGCCCAAAATCTGTATAACAAAAGATTACTACAGAAGTCACAGATCCTTCAAGTGAAGAACAATGATCACATGCACACACATAGGCTGTCTGTGCAATACTGCAGTTGTCTGTGATAGTAAATCCAAGTACGGTATCCTTGTGATTCACTGTGCTCTGGAGATATGCTAAGCCACCGAGCATTTGCCCTGTGAGCTCCAGAGGGTAATCAGCCATTAAGGCACACAGCAACCATACTGGACCCATATTTCATACATACTAACCTTCGTGCTGCTAATTTTCCTGAAAGTCTGTGTTATTCAAGAGTTCTCCCAAGGAATCATACCACACAAAAAAAACGTAAGACAAATAGCAATATGCAAAGCCAATTTCAAGTGAGTGTACCATACTAATGATTTTTCCATATTTAAAGTCACAAACTTCTGCTGAGTTTTAAGCACTCTCCATTGCTTTTGGAGGAAGTCTGACAATTTTAAGTTAAACAAATTTCAAAGCCAAAGTTTATAAGGATGTTAGAAGATTTGTAGCAGTTTCTATTCCAGACATATGACTTCAGGGAGACTACTCCCTCAAGACACATATACATCCTGTCTCAGTGTCAGTCTGATAATCACAGCAAGTCATTGAACTGAGTAAAACATAACAGGGAGTTTGCTCAAGAGATTTCACAGGGAACAATTAAAAAAAACACTTTAAGGACATATTTAGGCTTTACCTTGGTTATTGGGGGTAGAAGGCCTGTAACCACCAACAGCTGCCAGCTTCTTTGATTCTATATAAGCAAAGGCTGTAGGAAGCATCTTATCTGGTGGCTGAAGAAAGCTTCCTGTGAAACTGTTCTTTGATTCAGAATCCATAGCCTGTAAAAAGACACTATTTAATGCCAATAGCTCTTTAACAGACTATGTAACAGTTTTCAAGGTATGTCACTGGGCTATCCCTGGCTCTGTTTATATCAAACCAGACCATGTGAACCAAAATAATAATTAACTCCTCCCCACCTCCGATGAATCCTGTATTTTAATGCCATTCCAAAACAATGCCTTTTCATAACACTAAATGCACTAAACATAGCTCTCTTTCACCAACCAAATTTTTCTAAGATTTGTCGTGGTGCTTTCTAATAACTTATGCTGGTTTTTGTCCTTTTAAAAGTCAAGGATTAACAAAATTTTCTGCTACCTATTACACAGACTTCAGCATCTGCCTCTCTGTGCTCCCTGCAGAGCAAACATTCCAAATTACACAGCCTGTTTGCATCTGCAGCCTCCTTAGTGATCTCTTGCCTATCTTTTTGCATATGGCTTTATTACATAATGAAGACATAGTTCTCCACATCTAATGTTGAGACAACAGAAAGATATTTAACACGCAATATCCCCAGCATTCTCCCCATTATTAAGCTTATGTATTAAGTCCTGTTTTTCCACTCCCCTTCTGCCTCACCCTTTCACATTCTTTATTTTATCATAAGCATATCTGAAGACAGTTTACACCCTGTCAAATAGTGATTTTTCTTGATACTCAAGACATAGACAGTGAAACCTCCAGAAAGTGCTTTAGTCTAATACAACCTCTAGGAAGTTAAAACAAGTTTTAAATCACACTGCAGCTACCTAGCAAAGTAGTACCAAGCATTTCACTTGATACAGTGTAAGAAATAAAGAGTATGTACAGCTTCAGCTGACAGAAAACCAGTTTATTTGAAGATTCAATGATATAACAATTATGGTATCACCTGAGTTCAAAATACAGGGCATGCAACTGGAATAGGCGTCCAGCTTGGGCAAGGCTACTTACAGACACTAGTTCCCAAGAAAGTCACCCAAAGGAGGTATCTAGTAACAGGAGGAAGAAAGCCCAACCAAGAATGGAACATGCTGATGAAGCACACCCCAGGAAAAGCCATACACACCAGGTGGGCAGGGAAGAAAGTTTCAGTAACAGAAAAAGTTTCCAGAACAGCTCTTCCAGCACTGTTTCAGAGGCCATATAAAACAGAAAAATCACCATCCATCCACACCACCTCTTCAAGATATGCACTAAACCAAAGGTACATGGAAATACTTCGTTCCTCCTCCAAGTTGTCATCACAGAGACACTGATGTGAGGATCTCTTTGCCAGTGCTTGCTTGACTTGGGACCTCCCAGACATGGTTGCCTTTGTGTGCTAACACCCCCGGGGCAGATTCCACAGCTCAGGGTGGCCCCCCTGGCACCAGCACAGCCCCCCCAGCACTGGCATGTCCCGCCAACCCACGAGAAGGGGGCTGCCCAGGCTACCCTTGTACCACAGGCCTTTTCTGGAGAGCTCCCCATGGGGCCCCACCGCCATCCTGCCTGAGCCCAGGATACAAGCTCTCAGCAGTGGGTCAGCAGCTGCAGGCAGCCAGGCACACCACCCTGACACATTTATTGCTACATGAGCCATTTCTGGGCCTCCACAGCTCCCTCCTGGAGGGCCAGGAAACACTACACAGGGACACCCAACTGACTCTAACTGCACTAGCCAGACAGGCCTGCCAGCCATTTCCAACAGCACAAGGGGCAGTGGCAGTGATGGGCACAAAGCAGGGAGCAGAAGTCTCAATATATGAATGAGAGAGTCCTGTGGACATAGGCAGGGTCAGGCCCAAGACAGGAGACAAGATGGGCCTGGCATGGCACAGTGCATCAGCACAGTATTCCACAAAATAAGAAATAAGCAAGACTTACCAATTTTCCTATTGCTTCTCAACCTTTACGTGTTGGTGATAAAAAAAGACTAATAAAGTCCATGAAAATACACCTATGCACACTCAACTAGCTTCCTACCACTGCTGTGAATGGGGTAAGGTAAATTTGGAAATTCCCAGGGAAAAAGGTGGTTTTTGCTCATGCTATCTAACCTTTTGTCAGTCAGCCTAAGCGGAGACTCACTTTTCCAATGTCCTCTGGTGGAACATGGCTCCCTTGCATGCTTGCAGCTGCTATGCATCCATTAGTTTCCTGATTACTGTCTTATAAACAAGTTCTGCCGTTTCCAAGGAGATAGGTTTGTGTCCGGTTGCAAGGAGGGCGGTGATCTGAAGCAAATTACAAATGAGAGAGGGAGGGAATAAAGCACCAGAAAACCTGTGCAGAACCACAATTTTGGCAGCACAGCAAAGGGTAATATGCACCCTGGGGGAGCTTCCCAAGCTGCTCCTAAGAGCCGCTGACACAAGGGGTGTGAAGGAATACAACACTGCACAACTGAGACACCCGTGTTTGCAGAAGCCCTGTTGTGGACATAGCTACGGACGCCTTGCTTTGTCCCAGCTTCGTCAGGCACAGAAGCTGTATGAAGGAGGCTGATGGAACACTTGCTATAGTGCTTGGAGGCTCTGTCAACATAATTACTCCAGTAGAGGTGCTCTGGTATAGACAAGTCATTCAATCTTGGCAGGTAAATACAGTTTATAATAACCATCCTGCACAGGAGTAATCTCTATAACACTGCAAACCTCAGGCAAGGACATGGGCCAGGAAAAGGACCAAGTCACTACACCAGCAAGTCGTCAAACATCCTGACTGCTTTCAGCCCACTAAGACAAGAAATCTATCAGGAAATAATTAAATAGCTTGACGTATGTTTGGACGTCAACTCTTCTACCATCAACTTTTCCCCCCACAAGTATTTAAGTTTTATAAAACCACCACAGACAGGTTTGCTTTTTAAAACGGTTTACATGTTCTACAACCATTGCAAGATTAACCTACCACTCTTTAACGCCATGCTACCTTGGATGCTGGTACACAGACCTAGAGAGGTGCTTTAAAGCAGATACTGCATCCTGAATGGCAATGTCTGTACTAATATAACTCCACCAGGCCTAGGGGGATTTAGCACTTGAACAACATTCGTTAAAGCAGCCAAAACACCGTTGTTTAGACAAGCCCTTGGTTGAGGAAATTAGTGCACTCCTTCAAGTTTGGGGAACTGCCAAGGGAGAAATATGCCTATTAAATGGAGGCTGACAAAATACCCTGGTTACAGGCAGTGGGGAGGGGAGGGGAAGAAGAGGAAGAAATGTCTCACTCCAACCCCAGCAGCCTGCATGGCTGCAGGGAGCAGGGTGAAGCACTTGCATGTGCAGGCTGCATCTGAAGTCAACACTGGCCCTTTGGGGTTTTTTAACCAGAACTGACCCAGCCTGTCTTGGATGCAGTGGTGATAGTCAGATGCCCAGTGTTATTTTACACAGAAAAACACAAAGTAGCCAGTTCATTCATACCCTGCATCAAACATGGGGCAACTTAGTGCTGACTGTGGGCCTGCTGCTAACCATCAGCCTGGCCTAGCCACCTAGGTTGTCTCCAAGCCTGAGCCAGGAGGCTCTGGGAGTGCAGCGCCACACAGTTACAACCTTGTGCACGTTGCATGGTGCCAGGGGTAGTAAATTAGGTCTGTGACAGTGCTGCACTAATGCAATTACACTGCCTACCTCCTACCTTGCCCCAGCCTGTGTGCTCGCCCCTTGGGTGTGAGGATGAGCAGGACCACTTCTGCCTGGTGGCTCACCGTCACATGCAGGCTGGGAGCGAGATGGCACAAAGGCTCTTGGGGAGCAATCCCATCCGCGGGGTCGCACCTGTATATGTGACTTTCATGCCTCAGAGGAGAGCAAGCAAGCTGGAGTTTGGTCCCTTAAGACAAACAGAGAATTTCCCATTTCATCATGGTCATATAAGTACTAATGCGATTTACCTTCACACTATTTATTTTTGCTGTATATGTCCTGCATTGAGTGCCAGAGTACTGGATCAAGCTGTCATAAAAATCAATTAAAATTTTAATTACTGCTGCCTAGCACAAGTAAGCATGCCAATAGTCAGGAGTTACTGAACACCACTGAAATCATAAAAGTTACAGAAAGACCATTTATGACTTCCTCATCCTCCTCCATCCTGCTCCTCCCCTCCATTGCTAGCCACATCATTAAAAAAGTTTCAAAAAAATTTCTTTTGAAGTTAAGTCAAAAAATGTTTTGCCACATATACAATTATGTCCCACACTGTAAAGCAGCATGTGGAAAAGCTTTTTCCACATGTGAACTACAGCGTATTCAGAGAATAATGCTAGCTTAACAGTTTCCCAAAAGAGATACACTAAGGGAATAATGTGATAATGTAAGCAATGCTCCCACTAAGTTCTCCAAAGTTTGTTATCTTACAGAGATCCTAGTTCATTTAAATCACTGTGAGGGCAACCTCTCAGAACCAAAGAGGTGCTGTCAGAACACCTTCAAAGAAGAAAAAGAAAAAACAGATCAAAGCATTTTTCAGAAAGAAATACAAAGATATCTATCTTCTGACCTGACCTACTGGGCATGCACAATTTATAGTGGTTTTTTTCACAACTGAAAACAAAGTCTCAGATGAATCAAGGAATGATTCACTGTTTATCTGACATATTATAAGAGAAATTTTAAAGAACTGCCCCAACACAGGCCATACCAAGAAACTCCCAGAATTCTGGCTGCCGCCTTGTCTATTTGAGCCAAGTCTTACTGGCAAAAGGTTACGTGAGAGGCCATTTTTGTGACACAATCCAAATTGGTCTATTTTTTTCCCCTTTCATTTTCCTTTGAGAACCATGGAAAAGCTTGGTCAGCTGTACTAGCTGTGCTGCAATGCTCTTTCAGCCTTATTCCTGACAGACAAAGAACAGCCCTTCCACTGACAAAAAGAAATAAGTAATGTTGTAGGCAAACTGCATTGTTGTTTTGGGAACACCCAGTCTCTAGCATCCTGACACAACTGCTTTAATCAGCCTGAAGCATATGACCTTGCTCAGGACATATCTAAGTAACTGGTACTGATGTGCCTCCTTTATTCTAAGTGGGTTAGAAATGAAATGGTGACAGCTGCAAAACTAATAGGAAGTGAAGCCTCACTGAATCAATAAGGCATTTCAACATGTTAAGTTTTGTTGAGTCCCACTTTAAACAGGTTTAGAACAAATGACTAAAATCTGTTAGAGAAATTAAGGAACATGGGAGTTAGTTTGTTGTACAAACTGCAAGATACAAACTGTTTCAGAACTGGATATATAAAGGTTAAGTGACAGGTTTCTTCTTTGATAATATCGTAGCAAAACCTATTCATTCCTGAATTTCAAGTCTTATGCAGAACTTTCATACAATCATTTTTATCAGTCTTGGAAGAAAAGGGACAGAAATTACATTCTGTGTTTTCTCATGACACTGTATGTACTGTGAAGTATGATAAATCCTGGTATTTTAATGAACCCCCCCCCCCTCCTAAGCCTTTTATTTCATTGTGTCAGAAACATTCCTACTGTTAATTCTTTAGTTCCTGTTTGCCAGAGATAAAAGACAGAGGACAAAAAGAAGTAAGAAAGAAAATGGAATGAGTTACACAAGTACTTTGGGAACAAGGCAAAGAAATAACCAGGTAGAGAAAAAACAGAGATTATTTAAAGACAATTTTTTTAGGAATAGGTTCTAACTTGACAGTGTATCAAGCAAACTTGGGTCATACTATCATTAGAATTTTGTTGTTTTCTTCAATGAACACAGCAGACCCCATTCCTCAATAAATTGGGCCTTTGTTCATAAGTGCATGATAAAATCATATTCAATACTTTGTGGGGAAATCCACTTGGCGCAAACTGCTTTAAGCTGAACGAAAGATGGTAACTGAACTTCAGGGGAGCAAGACGGCGAGTTCCTACCTAGTAACAATTGCTATGTTAGCATGAAAGCATCTGGCCTGAAATATAGTGTTATCAAAATAATTACATTTCTAAGTCTTTAATCAGTCTAAGTAATTAAATATAACCTTTTTGTAATAAGCATCAAACACAAACCCAAATACTATAAATGGTCACTAATATACTTCCTCACTTCCCTTTTAGTTCTGTTCATCTTCTCCTTTCATCCACTCTCATGCTATAGTTGCTTTTTCTCCCTCATCTCCTCTCTTTTCACTGTATTTACACCTTCCTATAGCTTTGTTCCTTGCTCTTCTTCCTTTGGTATTGTTTTTCTCCCATTCCCTCTTCTAGCATAAAAACTTAGGGTTTTTTTCCAAAGTAAAAAGAATAATTTTTTCATACATGAGAATAACTATCAAGTTTCTTCCCTTCATACTTAGGATCCAGTTCCAACAGATGCTGTTTGCGCTTAGTACACTGACTGATGTGGAAATTGAAGGTGTTCTCCTCAGTACTCTACAGGAAGAATGTAAAAAAATTACTTTTTCTCCCTACTGTTATTTTAAGCTGCTGATGCCATCACACTGTCTTCCATATGTAGTTTGGTTAGCTTGGTCACTTCTCTTCACCTTCAGAAATCTGCTTTTGCTCATTAGATTCGGAGTCGCTCTCACAGCTTTCTAGAGAGCAAAGCAGAGTACGTGTGTCCTGACAGATTGGAAGGCAGGAGGAAATTACTGGCTCTGGCTATTGACCCGTGATTAAAAAGAGGAAGACTTTGCTTTTGTGGAAAAGGAAGGTTTTCAAGGGCAACTGTCTCCCATATGGAAGACTGTGTATCTCTGCACAGGCAGAATAATTAGAGATTAGAAGGGAAAATGCAAAAAGGAAAAGGCCGGGTAGGGTGGGGCAAATGTAAGAGTAGGTTGACATGACAATCATAGTGAAGAAATATAATGAAGTAGGGGATAGTTATTGCAGGCACTGACTCATTCACAGTAAATGCTTTTTCTGCATGATAATTTTCATCATTTATGTCTCAAATATTTAATAGGATAATTGAAAGATGGTTCTGAACGTTGCAACTTGCCTTCTAGGCAGATGAAACCCACAGATTATGTCCCCACCATTGCCTTGGAATTTATTTTCAAAATAAACTTCTGGTTTTACCAATACTTTCTCAGGGAAAGTGTCAGTCTCTTCATCCAACATCCTCTAACGTAGCATGGAGGTGGAGTAGCAGGTAGATTTTTAGCCAGATAACTAGAAGACTGTGACACGAATGAGCAGAGAAACACAAGAGGGTAATTGTTCATAGGATTGTCTCCTTTTACCTACTACCACCCCTACATTTTTTTTCCCATACTCCTGTGCTGCTGATAACTAGGCATCTGGCAGGGAACAATAATTCCATTCTGCATTTGTATATCAGGCAACCTAAGAAAAGAGAACAAAAAACCCATCCAAAACCTAACAAGGAAAAGAAATTGCAAGAAATTATTCTCAAAGTCATCTTTTGTCAGCAACAGTTGTCTTTAAAGATGCAGAAAAACTGCAAGCAGATCTCAGTCAGAGCAACCCCTCAATCTTATTCTGGACACTTATTTTGTTGAAGAACATTTTAAAACAATATAATCTGTTTACATGACTCAGAATAAACATAGCAACTCCAACACATCCACACTGAGCATCCTGAACATAACCTAAGTATTAATGCCAAAGAGTTCATTATATCATACAGTATAATGAGCACTCAAAAATGCAAAAATGGTCTATCACTACTTCTGCCCTGAGTTGTCTGGGAAAATTTACAACATACAAAGCCATGCAACTTGTTTCATGTAATCTGTATATTTAAACTTGCATGACTTCAGAGATGTAGAAAAAATCTTGAGTAAAATGCTACAAAATCCTGTACAATGTTGCACACATAAAACTAACTTCAGTTGATTACAAATTATTTAAGAGACATTTCTCCCTTATTAACTAGATGCACAGTTTCTGACTGCAAGGTAATCTAGTGGATCTCTAGGGTCTCAAATTCTTGTTATTCTGTGTTACCTTAATAAAACACAGAGGGGTGGGACTGATAAGGCACTGATGTTCCAGAATACATGAGCCTTCCAGCCTCAGGGCTGAATCCCTCCAAGTAAAAGAAGTGCAGGTATAAAGCCAAAACAAGCAGCATGCTCTGTGAGGAGCTAACAAAAGCTGTGTGTGTGGAAACTCTATGAACATACATGCTTGGCACCCTTGACCTCTTCAGACTCAGAATTTTGGAGTCCTCTTCTGGCAGTGAGTGCCAAAATCTGTTCTTTAAAACAATAAATAAAGAGTCCTGTAGCTTCTCTGGTCTGCGACTTCATTTCATGTAGCTGCTGGCCACAGCATTTTTCTTGGTGTTACGGGAAAACACCAAGGTTTGTGTTAACAGCCTGCCAAAGGTGTTTAAAAGGCATATTGGGCTGTCAGCAGATTAAAAATTCCCAATAAGAAATCTTCATTTTCTATTAAAGTGTAGCTGGAGGAAAGAGTGTCCATCTGCTCTATGCTGTTACTCAACGGTTAGAGCATTGGCCGGGAAGTGGAAGTTCCTGGGGAGCATTCATGCTGCATCCCTGACCACCATGCTAGACTGGCAGGAGGAAGAGCAGGAAGGAAACAGGGAGTCACCACCTTTTCGTTTGAAGTTATGACCCTGTTCAGAAAGGCGTTTAAGAGTCTAGGACAAGGAGAAAGCAGCTGAGGCAAAAGACAAATAAAGCAAGGATGTGTCTCTCTCAGCTAGTTTAATGATTGAATTTAATCATTTAATCATTTTTGTAGTAAATAGTTCCTGGATAAGAAACAGCACTGGCTTGGAAATAGCTACCAGAAACCAGGAGTAGGTGCCTACAGCTCCCTGTGTCTCTTCCCTTCTATTCACACCAGTGCTTTGTCATCCTTTCCAACAGGGACACA